CATAGCTTGTGGACGCTGCTCATTTTCGGGAGCACACAGAATGGAGAAGACAGCAAGACAGAGTGAAGAGAATAAATATTATTGTAACTAACTTAAGTTAAATATAATACATATTGCTAAATAATATTGACAATAAAACTAAACAAAATGGTGTCAGTATGCTTTGTTCTAAGACTTAAGTTTCTAAAGATATTATCTAGTAGCAAACTGTAACCAATAAAACATATATGATCTTTTTGCCCACTTTCGGGGGCGATTTTTTTTCTGAAAGCGTCCATTTTCGGGGACGTGGAAAAATGAGGTGAAAAGAAGACCTTTCACTTACAAGTCATCTGATTTTTGCTGGTGTGTTTTATTTTCGTTCATTTATAGGGGTCTTCACTTGGGACAATGAACATCATTGACCTGAGTGAAGGGATCAAGACAGTTGGATCAACTTATCACNCTTTTGCTGGATGCTAAATTATTCAGCTTAAGGAGCACACCCCCTCATGGATTAATTTATTAGGTCCTGTGGATTTTTTGCATTGTAAAAGTTAATAATGACAATTGTAAAAAGCATAGCCGTCAACATAGCTTGTGGACGCTGCTCATTTTCGGGAGCACACAGAATGGAGAAGACAGCAAGATAGAGTGAAGAGAATAAATATTATTGTAACTAACTTAAGTTAAATATAAATACATATTGACAATAAAACTAAACAAAATGGTGTCAGTATGCTTTTTTCTAAGACTTAAGTTTCTAAAGATATTATCTAGTAGCAAACTGTAACCATTAAAACAAGCGAACTTTTCGCCCACTTTCGGGGGCAATTTTTTTCTGAAAGCGTCCATTTTCGGGACATGAAAAACTGAGGCAAAAACAAGATCTTTCACTTCCAAGTCACCTGATTTTTGCAGGTATGTTTTACTTCTATTCATTTATAGGGGCCTTCACTTGGGTAAATGAACATCATTGACCTGAGTGAAGGGATCAAGACAGTTGGATCAACTTATCACGAAGGTAAGCTATATATAAATGTTGGCATCTCATTTTACTGTATTTACTTGTACTGTGCTTTAGTTACCAATAGAGCGACACTCTTAGTGCAATGTCAAACAATGAAAACATCAAGCATAGAGAGAGCAGTACAAGAAAGTCATGCACAACCTTACAGAAACCTTTACACTGCTACTGGTGGAACAAGACTGGAGAATTATCAGCTTTCATGTACCCTTGAAACAACTGGAATGAACGACCACAAGAACAAGGCAGTCTTGAGAAGGGAAGATATTACAAGGTTACAAGGTATGATGAGTGAATTGACAAAATTCTAGTAGACATTGTCCTGATGTACAACCAAATTTTCATGATATAGTTTAGTAAACCATAGAGTTTTGAGGGAGCAAAGAACTTCCTTCATGGAGACTTGTCTTGTTTTACCACCAAATTCTCATAACACAAATTCAAATGGAAGTATTACAGAGACTGTAGGTGTGGAATTAAGCAAGCCTTGAATGTTTTTTTTTTCACTCCTTGAAAATTAAAGCTACAAACCTCAATCTTGCGCAGCTTTGTCTTAAAGTGACTTAGCAGGATGTTCCAGCCACAGTTTGAGAATTCAAAACACTCTGACTCTCTCCAATGCTGTCAAACCATTGATGTTATCACAGTGTACTTGGAAACCAGGGGAGGGTATTGTGACAGATAATAGCATCCATCTGAGATAAAGGTAAAATTTAGAAGTGCTTGCTAATTCACTGTATTTCTAAAAGAGTTAGGAAGTATTGATACATTCACTTTGACCTTCCATTAAATGAAACTTCCATTTTAGGATGATAATCAGTATGCAATCATTAGGCTGTAGGTAATATTGTTTTGATCAGTATCACCAAATTTGTGCAGCCTACATTTAAGGAATCAGTCTGGAAAGGGAAAGGATTCAAGCTCTATGAGAAATATCTTAAAGCTAAGCACCAAGTACTCACTACTTCTAACAATAGGCTAGTTTCAAAGGAGGATTCTAAAGCATAATTGTAAAGAAATTTAATTGCCTTGGTGTACTACCAAATTCTAAGAACATGTATTAGTCTAGCAAATATAACAGAAACTAAAGAAGATTGAAGATTAAACTCAGGCTTACACTTACCAGTAGCTACTAACATTCTTACATCATAAGGAGCTCTGTGTTTAAGTTAATTGGTAGGAGGTTCCAGTGAGAAGACAAAGCTTTGAGTATCGTGCTGGTGCTCACTTTATCTAAGTCTACCAATGTGGAGAAGAGGGTTGGAGAAGACTCCATGAGGCATATGTGCAGTTAGAAACCAGGGCAGGTCTTCATAATTGACCACAGCATCTACCTGAGTGAAAGAGAAGTATACAGTTAATACATAATAGCAATTAGAATGAAGTAGGATTGCCAGCTTACAATATCGTGGGATGACAATTTGAGCAGTTAGAAGAACACTAGAAGACATTGTCTTGATGTGCCACCAAATTTTCAAAACTCACAGTAATACAGCAAACAATAATTTAAATGGAAAAATACTAGGCTAAGCATGATTACAAGGGATATATTGTCTTGATCTACCACCAAATTCTCAAAATGTACAGCAGTATAGAAATCAATAAAAAGAAAATTCATAATTATAGCTTTGTTGTTAGAATACATTGTCTTGATTCATATTTACCATAATCTCACACCTCATGTTATAATGGCAAACATCATAGATGGGAAAACTAAACTCAGGTTTGAGTAATATCTTATGACTCCTGTGACCTTCCAAAAAACATGCCTCTATCTTGAGCAGCTTTGAGTGGATCAGCAGGATGAATCACGTTTAAGCTGCAAGATCAACAGTCAGCCTTCCTTGTTGGTGTTTATTTAAATTGCCACCAGTGCACCTTAAAATGAGAACAGCTTGTTGTAAGAGATGACAGCATCCACCTGAGAGAAAGAAAATGTAGAGATGAGTTTCTCTGTAGCTGCTACAACCCTTTATAACAGCAGTCATCCAACAAGAGGTATGGAATTTCAGTGCCAAAACTGATTGTGATTTCTGATACTGTTTCAGTACTCATTACCAATAGCTCAATCCTGTTATATGTATATTGAGGCAAAAGTCTTAGTCATCAGAGGGAGAAACATGATTGCGGAAGATATTGTCTTAACATACAGTATCACCAAATTTTCAAAATTTACAACTAGCGTGTAGTACAGCAGTTAATATGGAGAAAAAACAAGATTGATCAACCAATTCTCAATAACTTGCATCAGTATAGAAATATAGACAAACACGGATGAGGTATTATCATGATGTACCACATCCTGAGAGCATATATACAACTATGGCAAATATTACAAAAGGAGGATTAAAATAAGATTTACATTTATTCTTAATTAACCTTTTTAAAAGTTGCTAAATATTAAAAATAATTCTGTCTTGAGCAGTTATGTGTTAAAGTGAACTGGCAGCATATTCCAATCATATTTCAACTGCAGTGACAGTTCGAGAAGGCCCCAGGATATCAGCTTTTCTGGTAAGAGTTCAGCTGTCTTACTGTCAGAGTAGCTGGAATGCCAACTTGAGTGTCCTTAACTATGGAGGTGGAATTCAACCAAAAGAAGAGAAACATTGAGATGTGGTTTATTGTAGAGCTCCATTAATAGCTGCATTGAACCTTGAACAGTCATCGTTTTGCAAGAGGTGAGGAATTTCATTGCATTAATTTTTAGTCCTACAACTATTGTTAGTAGTGTTACATTGTCCATCCAGCTTGCGTATTGTAATGACAATAAGATTTAGCAGAAATCATGCCACAATTACCTCTCTGGACTTTTGGTATGTAACACGAGTTTAGGTATGGTCTTGATAAACTGCCAAATTATCAGATCTTACATGTATTGATACCAGAGCAATCAATACAAATGGATACAATTATCATTATTCTGGCCTGAGATATTGTTTGATATGACAAGAAATTCTAAGAACTGCCAGTCATTATAGACAGGAGGAAAAAAAACAATAATAATCTCTGTATATAGAAAACCAGTAAATTCACTGGTCAGGCAGGTTTGCTTTGTTTCAACACCTTTAAAATTTACTAAATGCATTCCTCTGTCTTCAACAGATTAAAGCCAGGATGCTCTAGCTAAGGGACCACTCCAGAGAAAAACATGTTCAATTGAGCCACTACATATTTGCCAAGAACCCTTGGATTCCTTCAGCATCAAAGATACATTCTCAAGGTAAGCCTCATTACATTTACAACTGAAAATTTTGTTTAAAAAAATACAACTTACAGTGTTTTATTTTGAAATTGCATATTCTAGACTTTGCAAATGCAAAGATTACAATAACTAATTATGTTTGGCTTATGCTGTTGCCATGTTGTATGAGTCATGATTTTTCATCACCCTTATTCACTATACTTTCATTACCACTGTAATTTTTACCTGAANGGATCAACTTATCACAAAGGTAAGCTATATATAAATGTTGGCATCTCATTTTACTGCACTTACTTGTACTGTGCTTTAGTTACCAATAGAGCGACACTCTTAGCGCAATGTCAAACAATGAAAACATCAAGCACAGAGAGAGCAGTACAAGAAAGTCATGCACAACCTTACAGAAACCTTTACACTGCTACTGGTGGAACAAGATTGGAGAATTATCAGCTTTCATGTACCCTTGAAACAACTGGAATGAACTACCACAAGAACAAGGCAGTCTTGAGAAGGGAAGATATTACAAGGTTGCAAGGTATGACGAGTGAATTGACAGAATTCTAGTAGACATTGTCCTGATGTACAACCAAATTTTCATGATATAGTTTAGTAAACCATAGAGTTTTGAGGGAGCAAAGAACTTTATTCGTGGAGACATGTCTTGTTTTATACCACCAAATTCTCAGAACACACTTTCAAATGGAAGTATTACAGAGACTGTAGGTGTGGAATTAAGCAAGACTTGACTGGTGTTTTTTTTTTCACTCCTTGAAAATTAAAGTTTCTAACCTCAATCTTGAGCAGCTTTGTCTTCAAGTGACTCAGCAGGATGTTCCAGCCACAGTTTGAGAAACACTATTCAATGCTGTCAAGCCATTGTTGTTATCACACTGTACTTGGAAACAAGGGTAGGTTATTGTAACAGATAACAGCATCCATCTGAGAAAAACGTAAAATTTAGAAGTGCTTGCTAATTTGCTGTATTTCTAAACAAGGTAGGAAGTTTTGATACATTCACTTTGCCATAATTCGGAAACTTTTTTTGGTACTACAATAAAACTTCCATTAAATAAAACTTCCATTTTAGGATGATAATCAGTATGAAATCAAAAGGCTGTAGGTAATATTGTTTTGGTCAGTACCAACAAATTTGTGCAGCCTACATTTAAGGAATCAGTCTGGAGAGGGAAAGGATTCTACCTCTATGACAAATACATTTAAGCTAAACACCACATTCTCACTGCTTCTAACAACAGGCTAGCTCCAGAGGAGGAGGATTCTAAAGCATAATTCAAAAGAAATTTGATTGTCTTGGTGTACCACAAAATTTTTAGAACTTGTATTAGTCTTGACTAGCAAATATAACAGAAACTAAGGAAGATTGAAGATTTAACTCAGGCTTACACTTACCAGTAACTACTAACTTACATCATGAGGAGCTCTGGAAGCTCTGTTCATCGGAACGAAGTTCCAGTGACAAGAGAAAGCTTTAAGTACCTTGCTGGTGCTCAGTTAGTCCAAGTCTACTTATGTGGAGATGAAGGTTAGTTTAAGGTTGCTGAAGACTCCATGACACAAATGTGCTGTTAGAAACCAGGAAGGGTCCTCCTAATTGACAACAACATCTACCTGATTGAAAGAGAAGTATATCGTTAATACACAGTAGCAATTACAATAAATAAGGATTGCCATCTTACAATATCCACGGATGACAATTTAAGCGGTAAGAAAAACAGGATACCAGGAGATGTTGTCTTGATGTGCCACCAAATTTTCAAAACTCACAGCAATACAGCAAACAATAATTTTAATGGAGAAATACTAGCATGATTACAAGGGATATATCGTCTTGATCTACCAACCCTCATCTTAAATTCTCAAAGTTTATGGCAGTATAGAAATCAATATAAAGAAAATCTATGATTATAGCTTTGTTGTTAGAATACATTGTCTTGATTCTTTACCAGATTCTCACACCTCATGTTATAATAGCAAACATCGCAGATGGGAAAACTAAATTCAGGTTTGATTAATATCTTACATGACTCCTGTGATCTATTTTGTAATTATTCTTTATTGTTTATTTACACATGACCCCACAAGCTGCAAGCTTAATTACTTATCGTGTTTAAATAACGGTTATTTACTTACTTACTTACTTAGCTTCCAAAAAATATTCCTCTCTCTTGAGCAGCTTTGAGTGGATCAGCAGGATGAATCATGTTTAAGCTTCAGGAACATAAGTCAGCCTTCCTTGTTGGTGTCCAACTGTTATTTAAATTGCCACCAGTGGACCTGAAAATGAGGACAGCTTCTTGTATTAGTAAGAGATGACAGCATCCACCTGAGAGAAAGAAAATGCTGAGTTGAGTTTCTCTGTAGCTGCTACACCCCTTTATAACAGCAGTCATCCAACAAGAGGTGTGAAATTTCAGTGCCAAAACTGATTGTGATTTCTGATACTGTTTCAGTATTCATTACCCATAGTTAAGTCCTGATATATATATTGAGGCAAAAGTCTTAGTTATCAGAGGGAAAAACATGATTGTGGAAGATATTGTCTTCACATACAGTACCACCAAATTTTCAAAATTTACAACTAGCGTGTAGTACTGCAGTTACTATGGAGAAAGAACAAGATTGATCAACCAATTCTCAATAAGTTGCATCAGTATAGAAATAAATACAAACATGGATGAGATATTATCACGATGTACCACAACATTCTCAGAGCATATAGATGACAATGACAAATATTACAGAAAGGAGGATTAAAATAAGATTTACATTTATTCTTAATTAACCTTTCTAAAAGTTGCTAAATATTAAAAATAATTCTGTCTTGAGCAGTTATGTGTTACAGTGAACTGGCAGCATATTCCAGTCATATTTCAACTGCAGTGACAGTTTGAGAACATCCCAGGATACCAGCTTTTCTTGTAAGAGTTCAGCCGTCTTACTGTCAACGTAGCTGGAATGCCAACTTGGGCGTCCTTAAGTGTGGAGGTTGAATCCAACCAAGGGGAAGAGAAACATTGAGAGGTGGTCTATTGTAGAGCTCCATTAATAGCTGCATTGAACCTTGAACAGTCATCTTTCTGTAAGAGGTGAGGAATTTCAATGCATTAATTCTTAGTCCTACAACTATTGCTAGTAGTGTTACATTGTCCATCCAGCTTGCATATTGTAACGACAATACAATTTAGTGGAAATCGTGCCATAATTACCTCTCTGGACTATTTGGTATGTAATATGAGTTTAGGTATGGTCTTGATAAACTGCCAAATTATCAGATCTTGATACCAGAGCAATCAATACAAATGGATACGATTATTCATTATTCTGGCCCGAGATATTGTTTGATATGACAAGAAATTCTAAGAACTGCCAGTCATTATAGACAGGAGGAAAAAAAAACAGTAATAATCTCTGTTTAGAACACCAGTAAATTCACTGGTCAGGCAGGTTTGCTTTGTTTCAACATGTCTAAAATTTACTAAATGCATTCCTCTGTCTTAAACAGATTAAAGCAAGGATGCTCTAGCTATGGGACCACTCCAGAGAAAAACAAGTTCAATTGAACCACTACATATTTGCCAAAAACCCTTGGATTCCGTCAGCTTCAAAAATACATTCTCAAGGTAAGCCTCGTTACATTTACAACTGAAAATTTCATTAAAAAATACAACTTATAGTGTTTTTTATTTTGTTATTGCATATTCAAGACTTTGCAAATGCAAAGATTACAATAACTAATTAATGTTTGGCTTATGCTGTTGCCATGGCAACATTTGTATGAGTCATGATTTTTCATCACCCTTATTCACTATACTTTCATTACCACTGTAATTTTTACCTGAAGTCTACTTCACTTTTCAGTAACATTATTCCTTCTGAAATTTTTCATTTTCATTCATTTTCCTCCATTTCTTCAGCATCAATTCTCTAAACCAAGAATCCACTGCAGTGAACATTTGTCAAACTTCAACCCAGATCAGCCCGACTCTGCTCAGTTATTCAGCCTCATCGAAGCAAGACAAGATTCTGATGAGTGAGACATTGCTGGTGGTTAGTTAAATTGTGGGCTGGGAGGGGAGGGTAAATAGAGCTCTGGATGAACCTCACAAAGCAAACAAACACACACTTTCGGCCAGAAGTCCATGTACTTCTGATTCGGTTTAACTTAATGTAGATAATTTAGATAAGTTTACTAATGGGCCCTTGTGGATGGGGTGGTTCCTCCCTATTGCCTTTAAATTCATTTGGGTTTCTTTGCAGGTTATTCGGCCAGTGATTTGCATTCAGGTTTTTTTATTTTTCTCCGGCTTACTTTCGACTTCACTTCACTTCAATTCACTTCACTTCACTCCGGCTTTTTTTAAATTCACTGTGGCATGCTTCAACTTCTTTCCAGCTTCAATTGGCCTTCACTATGGTTTACTGTTGACTTCACTCTGGCTTCAATTTGACTTCGTGTTGGAGACATTTTGTCATCTATGTTGCATTCCGAATTCCTCCCTGCTCAGTTGCGCCTAGGCCAATTTATTCTATTACATTTCACTTGACAGACTATGTGCTGATAAGTGAGATTCTCTCAGTAAGGTTCAACCAGACATACAATGTAAGTTTAGAACTTATNGTATCTAAAAGGATGGAACATAGCTGGACAAAACCACTGGATAAAAGTGAGATGCGAATTACTATGAATTATGGCAACCTCTTTTAATCTAGGTCTACCTGGTGACCTGTGAATGGCTAGAAAATATACACAGCCCTTAAAATCAAGAGACAAAAAACAGTCTTTCACTTAGTGCTTAAACACTGCTTGTTCCTGTTTCCACGAGATGTTCACTTGTCATGGGGTGAGGATAAGAGCAAGATGTGATCTCAGAGTCTGTACATGTACCTCTTGGTTGCTCCACTTGGATGCCTGTCATGTCAATGAAGCAATTCTCTAGCAACAGTAGTGCTGAAACAGCAGTATCCTTTGCATTGAAGGACTAAGAAATGATAGACAGTATAAAAGATACCTACAACCTGAAAGACCAAGACATTATAGACAATGAAGGATATTTCTACAACCTGGACCAAGCAATGACAGACGATATAGGAGTTTTCTACAACCTGGCATGGGGTATGTGGATACAAAGTATGTTACATTGCAATGCAAGATAACATCAGTTCTCAATCTTCACTTCATAAGTCTAAATTATAAGTCAGATGACCTCTATTGGTAAGACTTGATTCATCATGTCCAAGAAATCAAAGGAAAAAAACTAGTAGAAAGTGAGGTTTGAAATAACTGGTGTTGTCTTTCAGTGCAATATGGCATACAATTGCTTTTAATTAGCTAACAATAATTAATGTCCGGCTTTAACTTTGGTTTTCCGGCAGTTCGGCATAAGTTCGATTCTCCACGCTTTTCTTTCGATGCATATTCCGTCACAAACATGTCAAGGCTTGGTATCGGTATTGACTCGTTACCAAGCCAAAGCTTACCAACAAATGAGAATCATCCAGGAGGCCCTGGGTGTTCCAAATGAAGTGTCAACTGACACTGGGACATTCTTGGCTTTTGCTGGATGCTAAATTATTCAGCTTAAGGAGCACACCCCCTCATGGATTAATTTATTAGGTCCTGTGGATTTTTTGCATTGTAAAAGTTAATAATGACAATTGTAAAAAGCATAGCCGTCAACATAGCTTGTGGACGCTGCTCATTTTCGGGAGCACACAGAATGGAGAAGACAGCAAGACAGAGTGAAGAGAATAAATATTATTGTAACTAACTTAAGTTAAATATAATACATATTGCTAAATAATATTGACAATAAAACTAAACAAAATGGTGTCAGTATGCTTTGTTCTAAGACTTAAGTTTCTAAAGATATTATCTAGTAGCAAACTGTAACCAATAAAACATATATGATCTTTTTGCCCACTTTCGGGGGCGATTTTTTTTCTGAAAGCGTCCATTTTCGGGGACGTGGAAAAATGAGGTGAAAAGAAGACCTTTCACTTACAAGTCATCTGATTTTTGCTGGTGTGTTTTATTTTCGTTCATTTATAGGGGTCTTCACTTGGGACAATGAACATCATTGACCTGAGTGAAGGGATCAAGACAGTTGGATCAACTTATCACAAAGGTAAGCTATATATAAATGTTGGCATCTCATTTTACTGCACTTACTTGTACTGTGCTTTAGTTACCAATAGAGCGACACTCTTAGCGCAATGTCAAACAATGAAAACATCAAGCACAGAGAGAGCAGTACAAGAAAGTCATGCACAACCTTACAGAAACCTTTACACTGCTACTGGTGGAACAAGATTGGAGAATTATCAGCTTTCATGTACCCTTGAAACAACTGGAATGAACTACCACAAGAACAAGGCAGTCTTGAGAAGGGAAGATATTACAAGGTTGCAAGGTATGACGAGTGAATTGACAGAATTCTAGTAGACATTGTCCTGATGTACAACCAAATTTTCATGATATAGTTTAGTAAACCATAGAGTTTTGAGGGAGCAAAGAACTTTATTCGTGGAGACATGTCTTGTTTTATACCACCAAATTCTCAGAACACACTTTCAAATGGAAGTATTACAGAGACTGTAGGTGTGGAATTAAGCAAGACTTGACTGGTGTTTTTTTTTTCACTCCTTGAAAATTAAAGTTTCTAACCTCAATCTTGAGCAGCTTTGTCTTCAAGTGACTCAGCAGGATGTTCCAGCCACAGTTTGAGAAACACTATTCAATGCTGTCAAGCCATTGTTGTTATCACACTGTACTTGGAAACAAGGGTAGGTTATTGTAACAGATAACAGCATCCATCTGAGAAAAACGTAAAATTTAGAAGTGCTTGCTAATTTGCTGTATTTCTAAACAAGGTAGGAAGTTTTGATACATTCACTTTGCCATAATTCGGAAACTTTTTTTGGTACTACAATAAAACTTCCATTAAATAAAACTTCCATTTTAGGATGATAATCAGTATGAAATCAAAAGGCTGTAGGTAATATTGTTTTGGTCAGTACCAACAAATTTGTGCAGCCTACATTTAAGGAATCAGTCTGGAGAGGGAAAGGATTCTACCTCTATGACAAATACATTTAAGCTAAACACCACATTCTCACTGCTTCTAACAACAGGCTAGCTCCAGAGGAGGAGGATTCTAAAGCATAATTCAAAAGAAATTTGATTGTCTTGGTGTACCACAAAATTTTTAGAACTTGTATTAGTCTTGACTAGCAAATATAACAGAAACTAAGGAAGATTGAAGATTTAACTCAGGCTTACACTTACCAGTAACTACTAACTTACATCATGAGGAGCTCTGGAAGCTCTGTTCATCGGAACGAAGTTCCAGTGACAAGAGAAAGCTTTAAGTACCTTGCTGGTGCTCAGTTAGTCCAAGTCTACTTATGTGGAGATGAAGGTTAGTTTAAGGTTGCTGAAGACTCCATGACACAAATGTGCTGTTAGAAACCAGGAAGGGTCCTCCTAATTGACAACAACATCTACCTGATTGAAAGAGAAGTATATCGTTAATACACAGTAGCAATTACAATAAATAAGGATTGCCATCTTACAATATCCACGGATGACAATTTAAGCGGTAAGAAAAACAGGATACCAGGAGATGTTGTCTTGATGTGCCACCAAATTTTCAAAACTCACAGCAATACAGCAAACAATAATTTTAATGGAGAAATACTAGCATGATTACAAGGGATATATCGTCTTGATCTACCAACCCTCATCTTAAATTCTCAAAGTTTATGGCAGTATAGAAATCAATATAAAGAAAATCTATGATTATAGCTTTGTTGTTAGAATACATTGTCTTGATTCTTTACCAGATTCTCACACCTCATGTTATAATAGCAAACATCGCAGATGGGAAAACTAAATTCAGGTTTGATTAATATCTTACATGACTCCTGTGATCTATTTTGTAATTATTCTTTATTGTTTATTTACACATGACCCCACAAGCTGCAAGCTTAATTACTTATCGTGTTTAAATAACGGTTATTTACTTACTTACTTACTTAGCTTCCAAAAAATATTCCTCTCTCTTGAGCAGCTTTGAGTGGATCAGCAGGATGAATCATGTTTAAGCTTCAGGAACATAAGTCAGCCTTCCTTGTTGGTGTCCAACTGTTATTTAAATTGCCACCAGTGGACCTGAAAATGAGGACAGCTTCTTGTATTAGTAAGAGATGACAGCATCCACCTGAGAGAAAGAAAATGCTGAGTTGAGTTTCTCTGTAGCTGCTACACCCCTTTATAACAGCAGTCATCCAACAAGAGGTGTGAAATTTCAGTGCCAAAACTGATTGTGATTTCTGATACTGTTTCAGTATTCATTACCCATAGTTAAGTCCTGATATATATATTGAGGCAAAAGTCTTAGTTATCAGAGGGAAAAACATGATTGTGGAAGATATTGTCTTCACATACAGTACCACCAAATTTTCAAAATTTACAACTAGCGTGTAGTACTGCAGTTACTATGGAGAAAGAACAAGATTGATCAACCAATTCTCAATAAGTTGCATCAGTATAGAAATAAATACAAACATGGATGAGATATTATCACGATGTACCACAACATTCTCAGAGCATATAGATGACAATGACAAATATTACAGAAAGGAGGATTAAAATAAGATTTACATTTATTCTTAATTAACCTTTCTAAAAGTTGCTAAATATTAAAAATAATTCTGTCTTGAGCAGTTATGTGTTACAGTGAACTGGCAGCATATTCCAGTCATATTTCAACTGCAGTGACAGTTTGAGAACATCCCAGGATACCAGCTTTTCTTGTAAGAGTTCAGCCGTCTTACTGTCAACGTAGCTGGAATGCCAACTTGGGCGTCCTTAAGTGTGGAGGTTGAATCCAACCAAGGGGAAGAGAAACATTGAGAGGTGGTCTATTGTAGAGCTCCATTAATAGCTGCATTGAACCTTGAACAGTCATCTTTCTGTAAGAGGTGAGGAATTTCAATGCATTAATTCTTAGTCCTACAACTATTGCTAGTAGTGTTACATTGTCCATCCAGCTTGCATATTGTAACGACAATACAATTTAGTGGAAATCGTGCCATAATTACCTCTCTGGACTATTTGGTATGTAATATGAGTTTAGGTATGGTCTTGATAAACTGCCAAATTATCAGATCTTGATACCAGAGCAATCAATACAAATGGATACGATTATTCATTATTCTGGCCCGAGATATTGTTTGATATGACAAGAAATTCTAAGAACTGCCAGTCATTATAGACAGGAGGAAAAAAAAACAGTAATAATCTCTGTTTAGAACACCAGTAAATTCACTGGTCAGGCAGGTTTGCTTTGTTTCAACATGTCTAAAATTTACTAAATGCATTCCTCTGTCTTAAACAGATTAAAGCAAGGATGCTCTAGCTATGGGACCACTCCAGAGAAAAACAAGTTCAATTGAACCACTACATATTTGCCAAAAACCCTTGGATTCCGTCAGCTTCAAAAATACATTCTCAAGGTAAGCCTCGTTACATTTACAACTGAAAATTTCATTAAAAAATACAACTTATAGTGTTTTTTATTTTGTTATTGCATATTCAAGACTTTGCAAATGCAAAGATTACAATAACTAATTAATGTTTGGCTTATGCTGTTGCCATGGCAACATTTGTATGAGTCATGATTTTTCATCACCCTTATTCACTATACTTTCATTACCACTGTAATTTTTACCTGAAGTCTACTTCACTTTTCAGTAACATTATTCCTTCTGAAATTTTTCATTTTCATTCATTTTCCTCCATTTCTTCAGCATCAATTCTCTAAACCAAGAATCCACTGCAGTGAACATTTGTCAAACTTCAACCCAGATCAGCCCGACTCTGCTCAGTTATTCAGCCTCATCGAAGCAAGACAAGATTCTGATGAGTGAGACATTGCTGGTGGTTAGTTAAATTGTGGGCTGGGAGGGGAGGGTAAATAGAGCTCTGGATGAACCTCACAAAGCAAACAAACACACACTTTCGGCCAGAAGTCCATGTACTTCTGATTCGGTTTAACTTAATGTAGATAATTTAGATAAGTTTACTAATGGGCCCTTGTGGATGGGGTGGTTCCTCCCTATTGCCTTTAAATTCATTTGGGTTTCTTTGCAGGTTATTCGGCCAGTGATTTGCATTCAGGTTTTTTTATTTTTCTCCGGCTTACTTTCGACTTCACTTCACTTCAATTCACTTCACTTCACTCCGGCTTTTTTTAAATTCACTGTGGCATGCTTCAACTTCTTTCCAGCTTCAATTGGCCTTCACTATGGTTTACTGTTGACTTCACTCTGGCTTCAATTTGACTTCGTGTTGGAGACATTTTGTCATCTATGTTGCATTCCGAATTCCTCCCTGCTCAGTTGCGCCTAGGCCAATTTATTCTATTACATTTCACTTGACAGACTATGTGCTGATAAGTGAGATTCTCTCAGTAAGGTTCAACCAGACATACAATGTAAGTTTAGAACTTATGATTTAGGATACTAAAAACTTAGTTTAGGGTTACAGGTAGTTAAGAAAATACATAGATCAGTTGTCAGGACTCTAGGTACTTGCCCTAATGCCTTTCATTGCTGTGAGGTTTTGACTCTTTGAAAAAGTTTAAAATATGGGCCGGTTTATTTGCAATATGATTCATTCATGTAGTACTTTATCTTTTTCGTTAGCATTCAAGAACTCTATAAATAAGAGTAAACCCTCCCAAAAATTGAGAGGCATCAGGGGCATGGGATTATGGGACAATGCACACACATCAGGTTAGATTGGTTATGTAGGCAGCCTTTGAGACCAGCTGACCAGGATCATCCAACCAACCAAAGGAGGAGAATAGACAGTCAGGCAGTTAGCAAAAATAAATGATGAGTTGCAGGTAGTGGGGAGGATTTTCTCACTGTGGCAGTGCTGACATTTAGACATGTACATCTGTCTCCTTGTCAACGCTGCCCTGTGGGAGGAATCTCCCCAAAGAAGGCCTACAATGCATGTTGTGGGTCTTCATAGCATAGACCGTCTACAAATTGTAGGCGTAGGTAGACTTCACATTGGCAACAACCTATGGATACTGGAAAAGTGAACGAAGAGGACCAACAATGGCCACAAGCCAGAAGTCCCCTTGGTACTACTATGGCGCTAAACAGGTTGAAAAAGATCGTCACATGATAGGCAGTTTTAGTAGTTAGTGTGGGTAGATAGGAAGCTACCAATGTGGTGATGAAAGAGGATAAATCCAGGATCAAGATAAGACAAATATTTTGTACTTTGTTCTCATGCTAGCATCATAAGGAAAATTACCTATTACTACTGATAGGCAGATCAAGACAAGAATGTTAGTAGGCTCATGTAGGTAAACAGGCAGTTTAATTTGTCGTAAGATAACAAACAGGACCTGGCATTGGATGGAAATCAAGTGGAGCATCTGTGCAAGAGTGAAACTGGAGAGGACTAAATTCATGGCAATACATCATTCTGGCCTTCTTTGCATGGGATATGAAAGTTTCAACAAGCACTGCTATTGAAGCTTCAAGATGTGCATGACTTCTGCAGTTTACCCCATGGAGCATAGGCTGCTGCAGCCAACACATACCACAGAAGCAATTCAGACATACATCAGCATGCTTCAGATGAAGTTAACTCTCAGGTCTCTCCATAATGGTCAGTCACACAGCTAAGATTACGAAGAAAGGAGCAGTAAAACCAGGTAGGTAGAGCGTAATCTGAAGGAAACATTCAGCAAAGAAAAAACAGGATCCCTTTGGATGGAGATAGTGGAGAGCCTGCACTGAAGTGGTGAGGGATGGCGATGAATGGTTAAAGATTACTCCGGGTAATGTGTACCTGGCATACATGACCTCAACAAGCAATTCGGTTGAAGATTTTTGTCATCATCAACAAGTGGTTCACATGAAAAGACAGACTAAGTCCACACTCATCAGTCCTATCAAGTCACAAGTCTTGCTCTCAGTTCATACATACAGAGCTTCTGTTTTTCTTTTATCTCTTCTTCCTCTCTTGTCCTCCACTAGGTAGAGATGGGTTGGCTTTCTCCCCTTTTACTACTAGTCATCCAATGGCAATGTTTGACAGTAAAACTAATGTCATTTTTCTCTGTATTACCCAAGATTCTAGAAGTCAGGGACAGATGAAGCATTCACCTGAAGAGTAATATCAGCCTGGAGAAAATGAAGAATGTGGAAACTGATAAAATTGACCCTCTGTCCATCATAATTATCCTATTAAGTTGCTTTTTCAGTCCTAGTACTCCTCCTGCAGCATTTTGTCAACAGCTCTGAATAAAGACACCTCAAAATGGTTTCATTGAAGATTCGCCTTACAAGGATAACAGAATGATTACATACCAGTTACTGACAGCCTGAGGTGGCTTACCTGAAAGTAAGTGTAACAGCACCCTTACCTATAGACAGCTGGTGACTGTTGGTGTTTTGAACCCCCAAAATGGCTGACTTTTCCCTTAGTCAACATTAGTGGATGCCCTTAGTGAATTTCTTCATCTGCTACACCTCCCCAATACTTGATGATAGACTCTTCACACTGACTTGACAAAGGAGTTTGCTTTAATCTCAAGGATAGGAAGATGATTTCCTACGATCAGATCATTCAGCCTTAGTCGGATGTAACTGGAGTTCTTGTAAATTGGTTTCACTGATGATGGCAGGCTTACTCCAAGGTCTCTTCTTTTGTAAAACAGGAGAATTATTTGATGTCTTTCTAGCATCTCAGATATCAGCTGCCTCTTTTACAGCCTCCTTGATGAGTACCTGCCACCTTACCGCTTATACACATAGGTGTCTGCTTTCTGCTGGAATTTGCCCATATTTGTGCAGCCTCTGTCTTACAAGTTTCTCAACAGGCTTTATTGACTAGGTTGTGTAAGTAAGTCTGCATACCAGTCAAGTGTGTCATCAGGCTGGCACTTATCTCCAGTTTCTGTAGCATGAAGCGACTGGGAGTATTTCTACTCCCCCTGGATGGGAAACTAGTCCATTACAGGGTTACTAGCAGCATTAAATTTGCCGGTACCCATTTATACACCTGGGTGGAAAGAAACACTGTGAGAGTAAAGTGTCTTGCCCAAGAACACAACACAATGTCCCTGGCAAGAGCTTGAATCTGGACTGCTTAATCTGGAGGTGAGCTCATTAACCATCAAACCACCACCATCAGACCTCACTATTAATCTCACTAAAACATTGAAAGGACTGTACAGATCGGAGCTTGAAATTTCCCTATATACCAAGCAAAAGTAACCTGTTCTTGAAAGAGGATGAGTGGTACGATTCTCTATAAAGAGCTTTGGCTGAATATGAACCGGAACAATGTCATCAACACCTTCAATTCCATAATTGACTATAACTATACTCTTGAATTAAGCTAGACAACCCATGAAGAATGGTGTGAGACACTATCCAATGAAGGAAGAAAGTAAATGACAACATGATAGGAGCCTGGAACATGGTCTGCATTGTTAGACAAAATTAGTGGCTCAACAGTAAATACCTGACATTCAACATGGCAAAGCAACTCAGGGGCAATCTTTGTTTTGTACTATCGACATTGTAGCTGATCTTCCAAATCCTACAGCAACTCCTATTCTCTCGTGCAAATCTATCAAAGAACAAGTACATTTTTCCCATTTGATACGAAGATGTTCAATGTGGGCATTACCCCACTTGTCAGGGTAGTTTCACAAAATCCTGTACATGTCCCTGGGTGAAACAATACCTCTTTAAGTGTGTTATTCACAACAGGATTATCCTTCAATCCAGTCACCCTTGTTCTTATACTATCAAATGGTAACCTTAAAAATGTCAGCTGAGGCTTTCCCATTACCAGATTGGTTATCTCTTTCAGCACTTCAGATGATATAGAACATATAATAATTATAGACTCTTCCGGATGACTTCACAGAAGATTTTGTCCAGTAAGGATAACAAGCTAATACCCTGCTTGTTGATGGACACCTAAGTAACTTTCTTCAGAATAATTGATGTAGACATGTTTACCTCAGTCGGTCTATTGCTTTAATACACATGCATCTCTGCAACCATCTCCATGGATCACACATCACTCAACTGGATCCTGTGCAGGTGCTTTGGCACTCTGAAGACTATTGGAATACTTCTGAGGATCCGATCCCTTCTGTTGGAGGTGGGGTCAAGAGTAATGTCAACAACTTCAAAAGTGTACTTTTTCCGCATCGCTGATGTCACCTAACAACTTCAAAGTGTACTTGTTAATCATTTATCAACATGTTCATTCCCGTATTCTTCCTGCTCCCTCTCAATTCTCACTATAGTAACACACCTTGCTTGTCAAAAGTGGGTGCCTGCAGTGCTTCATGCCAGTGTCCACAAAGTTATCCAATGATCTTGTAGGTTGCAGCTTACTCCTATGCCTGTGGAATCTCCTATGTCCCTCAGATGTTTCACTGAACATTGATGATGTAACCATTTTTGTAATTGTGAGCATTGTCTTCAAACTAAGGACACTGGTTTTTCAACAGAGGATGTATATCATAGGACTGTTGCAGCTCCTGTAGAAGAAGTCTTGGATGAAAGTGAATGTTACAAGATGAAGATAAAAGTGAATGTTACAAGATCATATTAAGACCTACCACATATGGAATTTAGGAGGACCCTGTGAAAAATGGAGTTGCACACACCCCAAAATACTAAATATGAAAAGCCAGGAAGAGCTTCAAAAACTTGCCTGAATTCTAGAAATACTGAATGTGATCAAAATTATTCAGCAGATTGCATCATCGTTGAACATCTCTACTCTCTTATAAACATCATGAGCATCAAGTTTTGGTTTAAATATGTAACAAATAAAGTGATCGTGATCACTTCTAACAGAGGCTGCCCTCCTAACATGCCATGAAATCTTTCAAGAGACATTTTATTTCTCAGTGATGAGAAGATGGCTTATTAGGATCTTATGCCACCTGTCAGAAAATCTTATGTACCTTCCCTGTGTAGAAACAATATGCTTCGGGTGACTACCCCACATACTCATCCTTCACTATCATCATTTATACTGTACTAGTCATTTTGCCAATTGCCTCATCCCTGTGACTCTTTCCTTACCCAGATCGTCTTTTATCTGGTCCTAACAACAATTTAACTTACAAACTACACTGTCACCTTATGTGTGAAGTAGACGCCACTACTCAATCTGAAAATGTTTATAATTATATGGGCTACTTGCGAACAATCAGCCATTGAAACACAGGACCATTGTGGAACATCACAAAAATTCCCAACTTTGTGCTTGTTAAATCTTAACTCGATTATATTTTCCTGGCCTTTACACAGAGCATTTCAGATTTCAACGACTTGAGCACACCTGCGAATTCCAGTGACGGGAGGTAGATATTTTTTCTTAATGTGGTCTTGCTATGGAACTTAATATGTATCTTTCTGCACACAGTCAGCATCATTGGAAAACTAGTCTGGATCACAGTCATCATCATCTTCATTTAGTAGAACAAGATGGTGATTTAATTCTCACTGGTGTTCACTCAAGGATGAATTTCTCAACACCTTTTTCAAAGGTGACCACGATTCTGTTCACTAATTTCTTGGACATCAGTTTTGACCAAGAAGAAATCTATTTCCCAGCTTGTGTTTTAAATGAGCCAAATTGACCCATCATCACTATCATCATCTCCTCTTATGTAGCACCAACAGGTGTATATAAGGTGCATAAGGTGCATATGGTGCAAATTGACTCCACCATCACAAAATGATGTCAAGGAGTATTGTGGTAAACTTTTTTCAGCTGTCTACCTGGTGACCTGTGAAAGTCTGTAAATGCTATACAGCCCTCAAAATCAAAAAGCAAGTTATAGCCTTTGAACACAACTTTTTCCTGTTTCCATGAGATATTCACTGTTCATGGGGTGAAGATTTTAGCCTCGTGCCCAACACCAATGGACTATCCAGGAAGGTTAAAACATCCCAACAATGGAAGTCTCTCTGAATCATTGAGCCTTGTAAGTCATTCCACGAGATCAGGATACATGTGTATCTCAAAGGATGGAACATAACTGATAAACCACTGGATAAAAGTGAGATGTGAATAACTATGAATTACGGCAACCTCTTTTTATCTAGGTCTACTTGGTGACCAGTGAATGACTAGAAAATATACACAGCCCTTAAAATCAAGAGACAAAAAAAACAGTCTTTGACTTAGTGCGTGACCACTTCCACGAGATGTTCACTTTTCATGGGGTGAGGATAAGAGCGAGATGTGATCTCAGAGTCTGTACCTCTTGGTTGCTCCACTTGGATGCCTGTCATGTCAATGAAGCAATTCTCTAGCAACAGTTGTGCTGAAACAGCAGTATCCTTTGCATTGAAGGACTAAGAAATGATATACAGTATAAAAGATACCTACAGCCTGAAAGACCAAGACATTATAGACAACGGAGGATATTTCTACAACCTGAAGGACCAAGCAATGACAGACGATATAGGAGTTTTCTACAACCTGGCATGGGGTATGTGGATACAAAGTATGTTACATTGCAATGCAAGATAACATCAGTTCTCAATCTTCACTTCATATGTCTAAATTATAAGTCAGATGACCTCTATTGGCTGGACTTGATTTATCATGCCCAAGAAATCAAAGGAAAAAAAAAATAGTAGAAAGTGAGGTTTGAAATAGTTGGTGTTGTCTTTCAGTGCAATATAGCATACAGTTGCTTTTAATTAGCTAACAATAATTACAACAAATGTTTGGTTTGGCATCAATGTCCGGCTTTAAATTTGGTTTTCGAGCAGTTCGGCTTTAGTTCGATCCTTCATGCTTTTCTTTCGATACATATTCCAGCCACAAACATGTCAAGGCCTGGTATCAGTGCTGATTTGTTACCAGGCCAAAGCTTACAAACAAATGAGAACCATCCAGGAGGCCCTGGGTGTTCCAAATGAAGTGTCGACTGACACTGGTACACTCTTGGCTTTCTCTGGATACTAAATTATTCAGCTTAAGGAGCGCACCCCCTCATGGATTAATTTATTAGGTCCTGTGGATTTTTGCATTGTAAAAGTTAATAATAACAATTGTAAAAAGCATAGCTATCAACGTAGCGTGTGGATGCTGCTCATTTTCGGGAGCAAACAGAATGGAGAAGACAGCAAGAAAATGCGAAGAGAGTTAAAATATTGTAACTAACCTAATATTAATAATAATAATAATATATATTGCTATTTGATGTTTATGATAATAAATCTACAAAAATGGTGTGAGTCTGCTATTTTTTAACATTTCAGTTTCTAGCTAAAGGTATAAACTGGTAGCTAACAGTAAACAATGATAATAAATTAAAGTCTGTGATTTCTTTTTTCTGCCCACTTTCGGGGGCAAATTTTTCTGAGTGTCCATTTTCGGGGACATGAAAAATGTTGGAAAAGGAACACTGTTTATTAAATTCAAATCACCTGATGTTCGCAGGTGTGTTTTTTTTCATTCATTTATAGGGACCTTTACTTGGGTCAATGATGTTCATTGACCTGAGTGAAGGGATCAAGACATTTTGGATCACCTTATCATATAAAGGTAAGGCATAAATGTTGGCTATTCACATTTTCAACTTCTAACTTGTGCTGTGCTTTAGTTTCCACTAGAAAAATACTTTCAGTGCCATCTCAAATCATGTATTACTACTGAAAACAACCCCAGACAACAAAGCTTCAAGCACAGATAGAGCAGTTGAAAAACATCACGCACAACCTTACAGAAACGTTTACTCTGCTACTGCTGGAACAACATGAATAAAGAATAATCAGTCTTCACCTACATGTAACATGAACAACCACAACAACAAAGCAGTCCTGAGAAGACAAGTTATAAGGTATGAAGAGCAATGATAGTATTACAGGAGACATTGCCTTGATGTACAACCAAATTCTCATAACATACATTTAGTAAAACAGTCAGTTTTAAGAGGGCAAAGCACAGTATTAGTGGAGCTTACATGCCTCATTGCATCAGTGATGCACACTGGACATGAACATTGTTTTTAAGCAATAGTTTTTTCTTGCACCACCAAATTCCCAGAATATACTATAGTATTGCAATTATAACAGGGATTCTAGGTGTGGAATTTAGTTAATCTTGACTTGCTTTCTTTTAGTCCTTGAAATTAAAGGTTACTTACCTCCATCTTGAGTATAGCTTTGTCCGTAGGTGAATAAAAAGGATGTTCCAACAACAGGTTTGAGAAAACACAGTCATAATATCAACTGTCCTCACTGGTGTCCAGCTGCTGTTACTACCAGAGTGTACCTGGAAATGAGGGTAGGTTTCCCTAACAGAAATGAGTACGTGTGAACTAGAGGATAAAATTGAGAAGTTCCCTTCAAATTGCTGCATTTCTACAAGAGGTGAGGAGTTTCAGTACCAGAATGTTCATCTTGCTTTGCCAGACAGTGTTTATGACATTTTCAAGGACAGCAATCAGTATAAAATCAAAAGGTGTGCAAGCAATATTGTCTTGATCTACCACCAAATTCTCGGAGTCTACTTCCAATTCTGCCAAGTTCTGAGCACAGCTTATAATAGCAAGTCAATTTCAGAGATGCATGGTCAGTGTTATTTTAAAGGAATTACGTTGTCTTGGCCGTGCACCAACAAATTCTTGGAGCTCACAATACTCCAGGAAATATAGGCAAGATTACACTAGGCTTGTACTGTATTGTTACACGTACCAGAACTTACTAACATTTCCTATATATTGAAGAGCTCCGTGTTTGAGTGAATTTGACAGGAAGCAGTGTTAGGGACAGTTTGAGAAAGCTGCTATGTACCTGGCTGGTGTCCTGGTGTCATCATTCCTCAGTCCAAGAGTACTGATCAACGTGGAGATAACAGTTGGTTATCATCATCCTTGGACAATAAAAACAACACTGCTTATTCAGCAGCTGCTTTCTCAAAGGGGTGCGGAATTTTAATGTATTGATTCTGACAAGTTTCTGAAACTTGCTGTTCGTACATGTTTCCACACTGCATAGTCACATAGAACAATTACATTGTGAATGACCATCACTAATGAGGGAAACAAGCATGGTTTTACCTAGGGGATTTTGTGTCGACGTGTCACAAAATTATCAGAACATAACATTTCACACTATGGCAATCAGCATGGAGAATCATAAAAGTGTATCCAGACTATATATACATGTAAGTTTTGAGTCTTTTAAGTTAAGTCTCGACACGCAACCAAATTTTCACGATCCATACTCACTGATAACAATGTTTTCACCTAGTTTTCAAAATTGAAATACTTTTAATAAATTAAACTATTCCTTCATCTTGAGCAGTTTTGTGTCTGAGTAAATTGGCAGGATGTTCACATTTTAACTTTTTTTTGCTGCGATATTGTGGCCAGGTCCTCCTACTTGACAATGTCTGTCTGAGATGGCTCAACCTTTTATTAGATGCCCGACATGCAAATAATTTCACCTGTCTGTCACTTTTGATTTTGACTTTTGAAACTGCAGTTTCAGTATGCATAATCAATTATAGCTTAACAAGATAATGGGACAACACATTCTGAGAAGTGAGAGGAGTAAACATGATTCTGGGGAACATACTAGTTAACAAATTCTGAAACATAATTCAACTAAGTGATGCTTGAATTGTTTTTACCTTTTAAATGTTTTCTAAAATATTTCTCCACCTTAGGCAGCTTTGTTTTTCTGACAAATGAACTGACAGGATGTTCCAGTTGCATTTCAACATCAGCAACAGCTAGAGAAGACCATGTCATGACAACTTTCCCAACAGCGAACGTCCAACTGCCTTACTGTCAAAGGAGCTGAAATGCTGATTGGAAGGTCCTCAAATATGGAGGAAGTATGTACTCGAGAAGAAGTCATGGAAGTGCATGTACCCTCAAACAGTCATCTTTCTATAAGAGGTAAGGAAATTCCATGCATTAATTCATTGTCAGTAGTGTTACATTGTCTGTTGGCCAATGGACTGAGCTTTCAAATGACATTTTGAGAAATCAATACAAATGGGGATATGCATTAACCTGGGAGATAATCGTTGTCTTGATATGACAATAAACTCTGAGAATTGCCAGAGAGGAAGCAGCACAATAACACTCTCCCTATGGAACACCATTAAACTCACTGGTCAGACAGGTTAATTTGTTTTGTTTTTACATCTAAGTAAACACATTAAGCAGATTTGTGTTTAAGTGAACTAAGGCAGGATGCTTCAGCCATACATCCACTTCCTACAACACTTGAAAAGTAATAAATCAAACACAAAGGACCGTGTTTGACGACTTGATTTCCAAACACCAAGAAGAGAGTTGAAAATTTGACGCGTAGCAAAGTATTTTGACGAACTTCGAGGTGTTTGGAAATGTTGTCAAACACTGTCTCGAGTGTTTGATATGTCTTCTCAACCAAAACTTACAAAAACTTGTAAAAATCTTTGCTAATTAAGATCAGATATCCAAACGCTGTCAGAGTCATGACTCCATAATGTCAACAGAACTGAGAGGAAAAGATAACTTCCAGGAGTGCTCAGTCACAGAGGCATTTAGGATGAATCTATCCTCTACATGACTTTAAAACAGGTATTTGGAATTGTTATGCATTGATTTTTAATTCTGGTGCTTTTTAATAGTAATGCCGTATTTCCAAAATTGCTATGTATACTGAATGGAATCTCACTTGAACTCAGGAACATAATTGTGAATTATCAGTACTAGTAGTTTCCCTAAAAAAATTCAAACCACAGAATAACAAATAGATTCTTTAGAATATTAACATCGCATTCAAATTACTGGTATATCAAAAGAGACCCATCGAATAATGTTTAACAAATGTCCACAACCATTTTTTTGCCTCTACATACCATGTATAAAAGAGCAAACAGATTTTTGAAGTCATGTATTTATTGTCATTTATTTCATGATTTTTCTCAAAATCATGTTTCAGGACTAACAGAAGCTGTTGCTGTCAAGTTGGACTGCCATTCCCATGTGGAAATCTTGTTAAAATTTTATATTAATTCTTAAAAACTCTTATCAGATCTTACAAGAATCTTATAAAACTTTATTTGTAAGAATCTTTCAAAACCTTGAAATGACCTTACAAATAAAGCTTTTATCACAGAAAAATTTAAAATTCAAGATTACAAGACCTTAAACTTACAGGATCTTGTAAGAATCTTGCATTTTATATGAAGCACTTTATAAGATCTTGTATGAATCTTTCAAAAATGTATAAGAATCTTAGAAGAACTTGAAAAACTCTTGTAAGAATCATACATGAACTTGAAAGAATTTTACAAAATCTTATAAGAATGTGACAATAAATAATTATTTTAAGGATGCTATTATAACATAATGAATTTTGAAGTCCAACTTAAAATAATATTAAATTAAAAGAAAAATATAAATTAACATTAAGATTTACCTTATATTAAATAATAATAATAATAATAATAACAATAATAATAATATCAAGAAAAAAACAAGATAAAATACCTAGTAAGTTATAAATTTCCACAAAGAATCTTAAAACAAGTCTCCTAAAAATTGAGACCTAAAACCTGCAAACAATCTTGTAAGAATCTTGTAAGATTATTCAAAGAGATTGAAAGATTTTAGATTTTTCACTAGGATTTATAAAATTCCTAACATGATTTCCACATGGATTTACACCTATAATGAAGACTAGTTCTAGCCCTCTCTCCGTCACACAATGTTATGCTCCCAGGAGCATAACATTGTGTGGCAGCAAGAACCAGAACTGGACTCTGTTACTTGAAGAAGGACAAGACAAAAAAGAAGAAGAAGCGTAAATCAAGCCTATACCACAAATGTCTACTTCACAAGGTAAGTGAAATCACATCACATCTATGGAGGGAGGGGGTAGCAACACCTCTTTTGTGCATAAATGTGACAACAGACCTATTATTAATAATATTGTTCACTTTCCTTTGCAGCCGCTCTGGTCAGAGTCATGTGACTCTGGCCTGAGCAGCTGTAAAGGAGTAATGTTTTAATTTTATTATGACTGTCAAAGACATCAAGAAATTAAAAACTAGTTAACGAGATGTTCATTCTTTGCATAAAAGAAAATATCAAAGTTGGTAGGTTAAGGTAAAGTTTGCATGTGAGCCAAATGGCCCATCAGGCTGGAGCTTATCTCGGTTTCTGTAACATGAAGTGACTAGGAGTATTCCTACTTCCCCATGGATGGGATGCTATTCCATGCTGGGTGACCCACACCAATAAGTTTACCCATACCCATTTACACACCTGGGTGAAGAGAGACACTGTGAGAGTAAAGTGTCTTGCCAGGGCTCGAACCTGGACTGCTCAATCCAGAGTTGAGCACACTAACCATGGGGTCACTGTGTCTCAAGAAGTTGAGCTATTATTAAAGTACACAGGTTTTTAAAATTTTAAGTTTCAGGATCAGAAAGATGAATTGAAATTGTACCCAGGATATTTGATGTTACATGTACATCTCCATCTGCCTAAAGAAGGAATACCTGAATTAACAAGAGAGCACTCTTGTTTTCTTAAAATAAAAATAATTACCTGTAGTAACCTTAAAGTATAATCTATTTTTTACCATAAATCTGAACAAAACTATAAGCTTAAGTGCAAGGCATATTCAGAAATATTTTCTTACTAATGCAAGAAAGTATTATGAAGTTCCAACTAAGTAGAAGAAACTAAACTTTTATTACAAGTTCGTTAATATGTTCCTTATTAGCAAATTAAATGAACAAGCCTAGCAAGTTAAAATAATGTCAAATTGACAGATGATTTTGACCCTTACATGATTGTACAGTGTTGTTCTTTTACAGTGTTTGCTGACATCTGTTGGTACTTGCCTTAAACATTATGCTTGGGGTCAAGAAGTTATGGTGGAAATGTAAGTTGTGAGAAGATAAATGACTGAAGAGGCAAAGAATAGTGCAAGACAGTTATTTGAGAAGCTGAAAATTACTATAATTATTTACTTTATCTTCTGAAATCAACCAGGTGACTGGCCTGGGGTATGGCAATCATACACTTGTGGATAATGTTCTTCAAGCACTTAATCCTTTTGGTCAGCAAACGGAACACTTTACAGGTAAATAATTCAGTACAACCTGGTGAGGATGGCATTAAAGACCTCCCATTCTATTGAATATGAGTATTCATGAAAATCTTTTAAAGCCAGATTGATCTTATTATAACTGTGCATCTTTCTTAGGAAAAGAGACGATACAGTAAATTAATAACACTAAAATTCTCAGAGTCCAACAGTCATAGTGTGTGGTATACACAAGCATGGATCCATACCAGTGTCCACCATTTTAAAGATTATCAGTCAGATTTTTCAGAATGACTTAGCTTAGAAATACAGGAGAGGGGAGTAAAACATTTCCTGGGGAAGCATGACCTCAGACCCCTCTAGAAGACCTAGAGGCTTGCGCCTTTGGGGTTTGCTGTTTCAGAAACCATTTTATCCCAAATCTGTGCCTGATACAGTTAGGAGAATTTATATTTCCAGCTATTTAAAGCATTTTGACCTTCAGTGGTAATCTATTATAATAAGAATACTTCATATGTAAGGGAGCTGAATATAATGGAGTTTAACAGTCTTGACCATCTGCTAGAAAATAACATCTGCTGTTCTGTTAAACTGGACGTAAACTAATACCTCTAATGCTATTTTCTGTACTTGGTAGGATCAATTCCTGCAGCTAAGGATTCATCATTAATGTCCACTATAAATTGCACTGATTTGAACGTCAAAACTCTGTCTTGGACAATTCACATCAAGTTTAATCAACTCTAACAAGTGAGATAATTTGGTGCGCAAGCAAATCACCCTAACAGTTGGACATTAACTAGCTACCTGGAGAAAGGTTAGTTTTACAAATAAAACCATTCAGGAGGTTCACTTGATAAAGGTGGCATGGATCAACATTGCTTCAAATTGCTGGTTGCGTATCATACAGGAAAGAACAACATGAATTGGGTTAACCAAGCATCGACACAAGAAAGAACTACTTACTTGAAAACTACAGACAGGAACTTCAACAACATTGGCTGTATGGGTCATGGGCAAAAAAGAGAGAAACACTACACTCATGAACATTTTGTCTCGTTGAATTCACCACTGAACTCTCTCAACATTTTACATGAACATATTAACTTCATATAACTACAGCTAGCAGGGGTGACAAATGGTGAAATCTGATACTCACAGATGCAGAGACCCTTGATTGAAAATCTGAGACTAAGACTTGAAGAATTTTAGACCCTGAGACAGAAACAAACAATGGATGTGACTTTGTGACTCATCATGGAGGATTCTGAGATTCTGAAATTGGATCAAAAGTGTCTAAGATACTCAAATGTCTAGGTACCATTCACTACCCCTGTTGCTTAATGTAATTTCAGCTAACTACAACTTGTACATAATGTTGGACTGCAGACCAGTTTAAAAGGTTTTTAACAAAGATGTCAACAATCAGTCAACATTTGAATGGCTAATTTAAGATTAATAAATGTAAATATATATCAATTATTCAGTTTTTTTAAATAAACCTCTGTGTGTTACAAGCCACTTAGGGATATAAAGTGTTGCTGTGATACAAACATTAATCCTTGCTTATTAATCTCAGTTTCATCACTAAGAGTCCTAAGCCAGTGCATTAGGACAAGATTGATCAAAAATTTCTGATACACTTAGACTGCATGATGATGAATACACTTTATTTGGCCTGCAAAAAAAAAAAAGCATTAAAAAGTTACATGTAACCAACCATGTTCCCAGGCTCTCTCGTCTTTGCCTCCCTTGTCATTGAAGGATGCAAAGGCGAGAGAGCCTGGGATCAAGGTTGACACGTAACTCACCAAAATATTCACTAAAATTCCTCCAAAAAAGTATTTGCCCATTCCAGCTCAAGAATATGTGATTTCATCATTGCAAAACATGTAGTTCATGACCATAAGGATGTCGTCCCAGTTGTACATTTTTCATCTTTATTCATGAGGTCATTTAACCAATTGCCATATCCCCTAATCAAGGCAAAGGGAGGATGTAACTCAGTTTTAGTGCTAAAACTACTGTATCATCCAATTTTTGTTCACTTGCTTGGGTCAAAATCCTTGAACAATACAAATTTTGCACATAAGGCATTCTGAAGCCTTGATTAAATTGGGGCCCTATACTGAATCCTAATTGATCAAAGAGCTTGGTGCAAAAAGGTCCTTAATCTACTCCATGTAACAGCTAAGTTTTACTAGATTAAGGACTTTTTTGCAATACAGTCCTAATGGTGTAGCTGTGCTTTTACACTAAGGTCTAGAAATTGATCGATAAAGAAAAAAAGTATGGGTAATTGTCTTGCTACCTTTTAACTGAATTAAGACCTCAGAATGCTACTAAAACATTTCAACATGAGCTAGCATCATCCCTTTGACCTGCCATGACAGTTAAGGAATGTCTCTTATCACTAGATTTTCTCTCCTCAAAACCTTTGAAAACAGACTTTCCCATGGCTCATGACATCTTCTTGAGGTGGTTTCTACAAATACATCTTTTGGAGGTCAGTGAATGTAATAAAATATCATGAAAAAGATTTGAGCAATTGACAAAAAAAGTTTGATACCTCCTAATGCAATGGTCCAGGACTACCACACCTTCACCAATATTAACATTTTTTTTATGAATGGCTGCCTAAGGGCTGTAACTGACAGAGGTTTTACCACAGGCTCTATATTTGTAAATAAATTAATTCCAATTTAACAACAATAATCAGACACATGAAAATGATTGGTTGAATATGTGAGAGGAGGTAGAGGTGTTCAGAGTGGGACATTGCAGTTGTGAAAGTCTGATATGGATGACGTAACATTTAAAGAAAAATCAAGGAGGCCATCTATATCAGACATCAATGTTCCTCTCTGAACAGGAGAACCTGAGCTATCATCTTTCTACTATGTTCAACCGCTTTCAATGTCACGTAAATGATCGTGGTCTCATGACTGGGTATTAAATGCATCATTCTTTCTTACATCTCTGACTAGGCGTGTAGAATGTTTTTTGAGTTTTTGTTTTCACTTGTGCTTCAAGATCAAAATCTCATCTATAAAATATGTGAGTCGCAATTAGCTTTTAATAGCTTTTTATGTTTTGTAGCTAAAGGTTTGAGTAGCTAGTGCATGCACAAGTTTTCTACACCAATCACAGCAAGGATGTAGCAAAAATAATAGAATCAAAGCAATTGTTGATATCAAACTGTCCATACCTGTACCAGTACATTAGAACTTCCCAAATAAGGTGCACAATATTGCTTTGAAAAATTTTATCTTTGCAAATTTCTATCACTTTTGAGTCTTGGGCAAATGACTGTTCCAGCTTATAACTGGGAGTAACTATTTCGGACCCCATGAATCTAGATCTTAATTTGTAAATTTATATCTGACAAAATTAATAACATTTTCAGACATCATAGCAGTATTAAATTGTATGTTTTAAGATAGCTTTTCCAAATTTGGTGCAAATATATCCAAACATGAATCAGAATTTAAAGTTATACATGTAGAACCCAACGTTTCTAAATTTGAAATTAATAGACCCTTTTCATAAATGGCTGCCAATTATAAATTCTTCTGTAAGTATTAAAATTAGCCTGACTAACCTCATTTTTGAGTAGATAATTCAAAAGAATTTTTACTCCCAAACGAGTTTAGTGAGGCTAATTTAAATGCAAACAAAAGAATTTTAAATTGGCAGCTATTTATGAAAAGGGTCTATTCTGTAATCAATGTTGAACAAAATAAATGACTGCGTGATATTGAAATATGGGAAGACAATCAACTTGGAACATCTGGATTCTTCTTAACCTGCTTCATAGCAAAGCTAACCCTAACAGTAACAGCAAAGTTTGATGGCTGACTAATAAATAATGCGAGAAGAATTCTAGAGGTTCCAAATTCTAAAATCATAGGAGGAAGAAATTAAATCACTCTTAATCTCATCTCATCTTATCTCCTTTTACTTGGTAGGCAAACATGATCGAAATATATAAACCTAAGACAACTTTTCCAGTTTTTAGCAAGAACGAACTGAGGTAAAACGATAAAACGCGGGAGGATTACATCGGGGGTATAGTGCAACGTGCGAGAAATGCAACAAACAAGCAAACGCAGCAAACAGNGGGGGGGGGGGGGGGGGGGGGGGGGGGGGGAAGGGCAGATCCCAATGAAAGCTTCAGAAGTGATGGTAATAACCTAATAGTATGTATTTTCTCTCTTTTTCATTGTCTTTTTTGAATCTGTGTTACATAGCTAGTAGTGTTAAAGATGATTTCCAGTCTGTACTGCGCAGTCTTAGCACTGTAATGTTTATCAACATTGCAAGGCTCACTCGATGGAATGCAAATCGATGTTATTCGTTATGAACCACATACCTTATCTTTGAGACCTTTCAAAGTCTTTTCCCAACAGCTTTGAACATTGATTTTTAAAGCTGTGAAGTTGTTTCATCAAGTGATACGAGAAAGAACGAAGTGGTTGTTTTGAGAAATGTTTACATTTTGTGACGTTTTACATGAAACAAAACAAAAAAAGCAAACTCTCGAGAGTGCGCAGTAAGGAAAAGCTGCACGGTATAAATGGTATTTATAGGATTTCAAGGTAACATGTATACCTTGATGTGCAATTATCTTTTTTCATTTAAAGTTTGTACACATTGTATCTATTTATCTATTAGTTTTAATAACTATAAAAAATAAAGTAGGATGTTGGCACAATGTAGTCTGTTATTTGTGTTTGGGTTGCTATAAAATTACCATACCTGTTCGTTCTAGAGACTTTCCCATCACTTTTATCAAATGGTACACCTCTCTCATGAATTACAAATTTAATTGTTTTGTTCCAGGAAGGATCCAAACACAGCCTATGGAAGGTCTTTTGGTCTGAACCCCCACCCCTCTAGAAAATATTCCAGTTTACATGTAGCTTCATAATTTCTTTTGAAAATCTCAGCTTTCAAAAAATGCTCCCTGCAACAATTTCTAGTGAAATTCCTTGAGGTGGGTACAGATATTTCCTGAGAGCAAACAATTTCTTGTTCTGCCAAATTACTGGTCAATGGTTTAACTTATCATAAGCGACTGTCTCAGAACAATCACTTTCACTTCACAAAATCAAGGTGGTTGATTGTATACTGGTAAAGAGATCTGTTACTGTCAAGGAGCCATTTCAACAAATTTTCTAGTGCAAGTTTCCTAATGCAAGCTCCATTATGCTCATATAGTCGCCTGACATGCCAAATAAACTGGCAGCGATGATGTTACATACATTTCATGTGCAATTAGATCATATTTTTCTGTAACATATTTACTGTGGTTCAAATCTATATTTGGTGATTTAAAAAATTTTCCAAACCAGTTTCATTTGTTTGTTTCATTTTCTCATACTCTTCATCACAATCAGACGAAAGAGAAATAAAAAAAAACTGGTTTGAGCAATTTAAATCAAAATTAAACTAAAACTGTATCACGACATATCAGGTTATTCTTTAGCTATTTGTAATAGTAATCGGACTCAGTGGACTACAATTCAGGGAGTAATCAGTTGTCTCAGGAATTTCAAAATCAGATGAGTACACATGCCAGTGTGGGACCAGTTTGAAATTACCAGCATGATTACTCACTGAATAGTATGACACGAGGTCCAATCACTAATTAATAATTATTGTATTTCAGGTATTCAATATTTACAAAAAAGTTTAAATTGGATACCTGTAATTGGACACCTACGTGATGGCGCGCCAGTTACGTGACAAATAAGTGAGTGCGGAGAGCCAACCAGGTTCAAGAATTCTCTTATAGATACGATTACTTGCTTAATTCTACAAAACCAGGTTCAATTACTAGTTAATTACATCAACAAGAGGGGGAGATGGGGATTTGCGGTGTTGCGGTATTGATGTTTTTTTAATGCGGTGATGCAGTGAATAAAATCTCAACTTGCAGTGTGGCAGTGATCTCAAACCCTACAGTGTGCAATATTTGTGTTTTTCATGCTGCGGTGTTCAGCGAAATGAAATTGTTTGCGGTGCTGGGGTTATTGATTTACCTTTTTCAAACCTAAATTTGACGTAAATTTAGCATGTAAACTTCGTTAATCCATGCTAATTTATGACAAACATGTACCATTGAGGTTAATAATTTGTAACAAAATACAGACCATCACGGTCTGTAGTCAATCTTTACTATGCTTCGGCTGCCAATCCGAAGCTGTTTTCATTTATGCATAACTTGACAAGTAACTCGACCTCTGCCACCCGGACCTCAGTGCTCGGTAGACATGTGGAGGAGCGAGGACAGAAACAATCCTGGAAATTCTGGAAATGCCTAGGCCAAGTATAATGTATTATTGACTGTGCAGTTTTTTTCTACGAAAAAAGGAAAAGGTGGTGAAAACTACCGGCCACAAAATATATTCAGATGTCGCGTCGGCAGGGAAGAAAGAAGGCTTTCTAAGCTAGGTTAAGGAAGCTTTGTAACTTGCACATGTTTACTATTTTTTTCCTTTTGCTAGTTGGCTTCGCCTAAAGGTCATTCTGATACCGGTCCCTACCCCCTCCAAGGTCCTGCAACTTTCTTGACCTTCGATTATTGATATCAAACACAAACGCAGCTAGCTCTGGAAAGCAATACTTTCAGTCAAGATAGGTCTTCAGTCAGTGGGTTTATACACCAAGAAATGTGAGCGAAGTAAAAGAAGAGAGGGATCTGGGGTAAAGGCCATCTCTCTACGCTCCTCTCTTTTTTCTTCGTCCGCTTCCTAGCTTCGCGAAAGGTTTCTTCACAAGAGCAGGAAAACTGATTTTCAGGCATCAGCAGTATCGACATATGCGTAATGAAAAGCGTTGTGATGTGTTTATTTTGTGGAAAATTGTTGAGGTATTAAATTATTATTTTACTTGAAGTGTAGATGAACGAATCATGGCGCTAAAAATACGTGTTGCGGTGATGGTGTTTCGTTGACTTTTCTTGCGGTGATGCGGTGTTCGTTAATTTTTTTTCGCGGTGTTGCGGTGTTCAGAAGCCCCCCATGTCCCCCTCCAACAACAAATTTCTAAGTCAAAAAAGTCTTTTAAGAACTTTTTTTGTGCGAAAAAGTCAGTAACAATAGAGGAGTTTGCGGTCTAAGGGGCATGATCAAATCATTCGGTTTTAACCGTTAAAATATTCGTACGCCCACAACGATCGTTCGATCGGCTCAAAAACACTCGTAAACCTAGAAAAGGGGTTTCCTCGTCTATAGTATATGTTTTATCTCCAAATGTGAAATCAGAACGGAAATATAAAGATAAACATTTGTTTCACGGCTTTTTGCTTCTTTGAAATTTGCCCTGATGAATAATACCCCTTCGAGTGTGAACTCCTCTTTTCTACAAAAATTTTATAATCTAAAGGGATTAATGAGAAGGAAGCCATTGAAGGGCACGTAATTGACCTGCAAGTGGCCCCGAGACTTACTTTTAGAAAAGGGAGATGGCGCGGAATATGATCATGGCAAAGATGTGCTGTTTGTTGGATTGCTAGCTATTGCTGAATGATGAACCGCAATATACCAACCTATTCTTCTGTGTTACTGCTTTCCAAACTTGATATCTTCGGGCAAGGAATACTATTAGCTTGAGCTCTCCCATTTTATCTACGTCTTTCTGGGATGCCAACACTTGGAATCCAGAGACGGCGCGCGCGACAAACAGGAGGACAATTCATTGCAGCTAACATGGATTTCATGTTGAGGCCTTGGACAAAAGGGTCAAAATGCAAAAGAGCCGGCCAAAAGCATCTGCACGCTGGTGAAAGTAAATCTTGAAGACACTTTTTTTGTTTTATTGATCATCTTGTTAAAAATGATGCAAATAGAAAAAACCATTAAATAACAATTTCGTTTTTTGTTTGCTTTAGTCTTTTTCATTGTTTCGCAGGGGATCGATCTTCTTTAACCTTTAAACACCTCAATAAGGCTTGCTAACATCTCCTAAGGTGATAGTTGTAAAACTGTTACAAATGATTGGGGATATAGTTGCTGAAGCCCAAACATTTTCATTTGTTTTGTCTCACTTTCGCGCGCTTTTCGCCCAAAATGAATAGCTCTCTTTTGTTAGGTACCTCGAAAGGAAATAGCAAAATGGTCTTTTTGTGTCCATTCCCTCCGGGGCTTCGTTGACAGAGTCGACAGCCTAGCCACAACAGTTCGGCACAATGATCCACGATGGCTTGATGAATGTGAAAAAGAATGAGGGCTTGGTGGCTTTGTTCTCTAATCATACTGACTGGCTATATTCTTTGTGAATCAAGCAAATGTACACGGAATTTTCACTGCATCGATGGTATTTGCAATAGTGGATTTTTCTGCCTTTGCAACGAGAACTGGTGGGACGACCTGTGTCAGTTTTGCCGTGAAAGGTCAGCTGTTTTTGCTTTAATAGCTTGTAATTCATCATACGTTTCGCAGTTGAGTTAAAAGTCGAAATTGTTTAAAGAGTAACATGAGGAATTTACTTACTTTTCGTATTCCGTGGTTTCCTATCGATGGAATAGCTTTTGTGACGAACTGCAATGATGGAATATTGTGTATATTGTCTGTGTTTACAAATTTCAGTGAATTGCTGTCGATCGTTGCGCGAAATCTGTGGAAAAAATTTTGTGTGTTTCGAGATCCATTGAAAGATTGATTTGAAATAATTCTTTGATTGTAATCTTTTGATCAGCAAAATACAAAAAATGAAGTTTATCTCTCCCACACATAAGCTTATGTAAGTTTAATGTCTGTTAACTTCATAATGTATGGGTATAATAATTCCACTTCTTTTGACACCGGGAGATTTGGGGGCGGGGGGGTACTCCCTTATATATATGGGCTATATGTATGTGTAGTCCCAAAGGGTATGGTGTTTGAGCAGTTTTGGTTTGAGAAAGGTATAGACATTTTGACCATTTTGGTCTTAAATGGGTTTCTTTTTCACTCTGGATTGGCATTGGGTATTTTGTTTTAATGCAACTCAAGGAACTACATGTACATTTTTCTGCATCAACATTGGAAAATTTGTAGCCCTTCAGAAACAATAACACAGATGGAAGCCATTTATGGTTAGCTGTAGTCATATATTAGAGCTCTGTACTAACTCCAGGGCTGCGTAGCCCGACAAGCACTGGGCTGGAACCCCCAGGGAAGTAGACGGAGAGGAAGACCACGAAACACCTGGAAAAGAGACACAGAAAGGAGCATCCAGTTAAAAGGCTACACCTGGAATCAGATTGAACAGATGGCCAGAGACAGAGGAGGGTGGAGGCGCTTTATCTGTGGCCTATGCTCCGAGACGGAGTAATAAAAGACATCATCATCACTAACTTCAGGGGTCTGAAACATGCTATTGATTTTCATTCTGCTAGTTAGTAGTGTATAAGGGGTCGTTTAGGTATTCACTTGTTCACTTGTTCCGGCTGCTTAACGTCCACTAGACATTTAGGTTAGAGTTACCCTCTTTAATGTGCACTTGGAATTTTGCATCCCAGGAATCAGTGTATTCTAGTCACTACAGATGTGAAGATATCAACATGTTGCATTACTTTTTACTGATGCCGAAAACTATTTTTAAATACAAACTGAAACAGTTTTTATCCAACCATTTTAACCTTAGTTAGTAGTATTTTAATTCATGTTTTAGTGTTTAGTCTTAGTTAGCTTACCACATAAGTTTTTGTCCTTTTTATTGTATTTTAGATTTTAATGTATTTTAAAGGTTTAACATTTATTTTCTCAGAGGACCCTCCTGAAAACCACCTTATGGTGATTGGAGGCCTCCTCTTAAAATATTATGTATTATTATTATTATTATTATTATTATTATTATTATTATTATTATTATTATTTTAAAACATTGAGGAAACTTTTTCATAAATCACCTGAAGCTTTCTCCTACCTCTTCTGTTGAAACATTCACGCCATATTTTTCTTAGTCATTTTCTGACTACAGTAATTAGAAGAGAGAACTAGAATCCTCAGTACAAGGCCTAACTTCACCTAGTGGCCAACCTTCCACTTCATGTATGCTTTAGTCTTTCTTAACTCTTAAAAATTTTTTCACCTGTCTGTCAACCACGGACACAAGTGAGACTATGAAGTAAACTCCATTAAATTGAACCATTTTGCTTTTGGCCCCGAATGCCCCACACTGTTTTTTTTTCTTTTCTTTTTTTTTTTAATGCAATTTTATTTATAGGACAAGCACTTACACTACTCACAGTACTAATATTATACTTACATTTACACTTACACTGTACTTGCTACTTATACTACTTATACTTACACTATTTATACATGTACTAGTTGCAGTACATATACATGTATTATAATACCATCGTACTAATTAAATTATGGTTGGCTTACTTACAATGCTCTTTTTATTATAGATAAATTGCATAAACACATAAGTTACATGCAAGCTACATTTTAGTTTTCTACAACACACTTAATTATGCTAGACTGCTACCTTACTTTTCAGTTACTACCAACGGAAAAACACTAAAATTACTGACAACACTGCTGATCGAACATACACACTTACATAATAATGAAAAAAGAAGGAAAAACGAACAAACGAAAAGAGAGAAAGGGAAAAAAAGAGGGGGGGGGGGGAGCCCTGCAGGTTTTCTTTTGCTTTTCTTTTAATACAGGAAAAGGTAACAACATAGATGTTTTTGGGCCAAAAGTTGTTGGTTTATTGACCTTTATGACCAGACTAGCGTCTCAAAATCGATCCATCTTACCCCAGTCGCCAGGCTCTCCCTTCCCCCCAAATATCCAGTACACATTAAGTGGGTTGATGACCATCACCATGATGCCACTGAGGGCTGTGCCAGCAGAAAGTATCACTGAATTTATAAAACAACTCACTTGAAGAAACTAAGTCATTTTGTTCAATAAAAAAATTGTGTGATATGCCCTATGGACAGTGCAACAAAGGAGTTGTAAAGTGTAGTTTGTTACATTTGAATTTGATTGTTTGGGACATTCCACTTTTTGAGTTTATGTCATCCAACTTTATTGTAACTTTTTTTCATTTCCAATGAGAAGAAAAAAACATAGTAGGCTTTACAAAAATGAAATGCTGATATTGTTTGATTTTTCTCCAGGCGTAGGGAATCGGATAGTGAACCTGTAATAATAGAAGGAAAAGAGAATTATTCTTTACCATCCAAGTGTGCTTGGCTTATTGAAACAGATGCGTAAGTAAAAAATTAATCAGATTTATACCAATAGGTTTCTGGGTGATTGAGGAAATTAATTAAGTGATTAAGAAAAAGAAATCACTGAAACTACCATTTTACCATGATTATTTTTTCCGTCCTCGTTTTTCCTTACCCCTGCCCCAGTTCTAGACTGAGGTTTCCTCTTTCCAGTTTCTCAGTTAAATGTAAGCCAGAAGGCGGCGACAATGAGTTGCGAGGGGAGAGTGAGTACCTCTTGTTCCAGAACGCACAATTTTGACTTCCATGCTGAAATTTGTTGGACTCTGATTACAGCACCAAAAGAGTGGTTTTCCCATTTGTCACATCATGACATGAGATGAATTTTCCACTCTCTACCATGGATAAGTTACATTTGTTTTACTTTTTACTTAAGTGCAGATCTGAATCTCCTTGTCCACAGAGTTTCTCTAATAGCAGAAGCCACTGTGGAGGAGATAGTACATAAATTCAGTTCCTGAAAGCATTTTAGAGAAAGTTGCAGCTGAAGTTCTTTGACGGTGCTTTCCAGAAATTTGAAATTTACTGAGATCCCCTGAAGAAATCCTTGTTCTCAGTGTGTCACCAGAGTCATTTGATTAACAATATTATCGCTGAGTGGATGTGGCAAATGAATTTACTATACTGTACATGCACCTTGTAAGCATTTGCCACTGCAGACCTACCTGCTCCCCAAGAATTTTTTGTTCTTTCTTCTCCTGATTTGATCTGAAAGGGTATATCAGAAATATTCCAAATAAGGATTTTCATTCTGTTGGACAGGTTTTTTGCATTTATTCTGTTACCAGTGTTTTGACAAGTGTTGTTGGCAGAGGTGCACTGTTTCTAGTCACAGTGTCTGATAATACATTGTACATGTAGTCTCTTTCACGTTTTGTTTGGCTGAAGGATCCTCTAACAGGTTTCTACTATTTTGTTCTGTTTACATGTAACTCTTAAATCTACTGAAAGGAGTTTCGAAGACTGTGTGTCAGTTGTGGCTTGACAGTCACCTACAGCAGTCCATTTGACCTAATGCAGCCAAACCACTTTTTAAACAGGATCCTCCTGATAATTTGAAGTAGACAGAGATCAATCGACAGAGATCAAACGCCCATTGACATATTGAGAAAGGCTCTTTTAAGTGTTATTGAAATAATTTCCTGTGGTACTACCACATCCAACAAAATTATGTGTGATAAATGTGTATATGTGATATGCTGATTACTATTGTTCGACACTTAAATTACTATTAATTTAGAAATGTTTGACAGTTGGTGTCAGCATGGAAGTGAAATTCAAGCCTTCTGGATCCAGAGGTTTTCTTCTCTTGCTCACTGTGACTGCCGTGATTGCTTGTTCACTTCAAAAGCAGTACCTACCCCTCACCCCTGCCAATGAGCTATTTTGCTCCCCCAATCCCAAAGTACCTTTACCTAGTTTTTGCCCAGAATAAAATAATAGTACACTCCCTATAACACACACAATAATATTATTATTACATCTTAATTGTATATTTAGAGCAGTGGTAGATCCAGAGTTGTTAAAAGGGGGATGAGATGTGATATGGATCCTTGTTACTCACGTATGGGAGAGGCAGTGGGAATTAAGCGAGGGGGGTAGCAAAAACTCTTTGGCCTCATGCGTATTGAATATTTCAGGAACAAGTGCAGTCAAGCAAGTCTTCTTGGACTCTCCTTTAGATTTTGTCTTGTATTGAACATGATACTGTAAAATTTAATCAATGTATATTCACATGTATGTCATTTTTATTGTTTTAATAGTTACCTTTATTTTCAACTTTTTCAGACCCAGAAATAACCGATCAGTCATACTCAATATAAATGCATTTTCTGGTACTTGTGGTAAAAGAAGGTTGATTATTTATGATGGAAATTCTGTCCGTTCACCACTTCTTGCTATTGTCAGGTAGGAGTTTTTTGCTGTGGGTAGAATTTGCAATAGATGCACAAGTTTGCTTTGAATTAGCCTGTTCCAGGCATTCACTAGTTGTTCGAGAGCACAAAAAAATACAGTAGGGGTATAGAGAGGGTGGGGAGGGGGGGGGGGGACAAAAGATTGTCTGGGAGCATTTTTTAACAAAAGCTCTTAAATTGGCGTCAGAACTGTAAGTACATCCGCACAATATCAAGGCTACGAAATACGCAGTTTATTTGACTGTGGTGGTAAAATTAAGAAAGTAAAAGTATTTTCTAAAAATTGTTGACAAACATATTGTTATAAACTTTAGTGACATCCTTACAGCTGGAACTAGAGCAAAGGCTGAACCACTTCTTCGACTGAGAGCAAATTCTGGCTCAGCCTTCATTGTTCTCGTAGGACAAGAAGAGAAGTCAAACGGCAGAGAATGCTGGTTTAACATTACATACAGGTATGTAATAAATAAATATAACGAACTCACATTCTTTGAAGATTGTATCTTGGTGTTTGAAAAATGTTCACATTTTCCCTAGATCAAATTTCATTTCTCCAGAAACTAATTTAGCAGTACATGGTAGTTACATTGATTGTTGTAGAAGTTACATCAACTTATGAAAATCTCCTACATGTATGTTGAGTGAAAGAAGAAATAATTTGCTCACAGTAACTTGTTAATAGGAAAAAGTTTTGAAAATGTTTCCTTATCATGATCATGATTGTTTTTTAATTTTTAGTTTTGAGAAACAGTGTTCCATTGAATGTGGTAGCCATGGTTTTTGTACTGAGCAATCAGGTCAGATGGTATGTCAGTGTGATGCTGGGTGGACATCCAGTAACTGCAGCATACCAACCTGTAGTGTTGAGTGTGATAACAACTCTTGTGATGCCAAGACAAGAAAGTGTAACTGTACCAATGGGTACACAGGTTTGTGTTATTTCTTCCTTTCACATGTGGGAGATGTGGTGGCCTGGGCTGATGGTTATTGTGCTGGGCTCTGAATCAAGTACTGTAGTCCATGTTTAAGTCCTACAGCTGTAACTGGGGTCGTTATTGAGTTGTGTTCTAACAGGCAAGACATTCTCAAGGTGCCTTTCTCTACCCGGGAGCATATCCAATAAGCCTTAGACACTGTTAGATTTAATTCTGGGGGACCCTGCGTTGGACTAGTAACTGTTAGCATTTCATCCAGGGAGGGGGGAATATAAAGAAATACTGCAAGTTGCTTCATGCCACAGAGACCAGGATGAGCTCCATTGGTACAGACCACTCAGCCCAATACAGACTTAACCATTTGTACATGTGCCTTTTCTTGCTCAGTTGGATTGCTTTGACATTGTTACAGTTGTACACTTATATATGTATGTATGAATGACAGTATGCAATGCTTTGGAAGAGCCAGGTAGCTTATCACTTCTAGTACTCCATGGTTTCCATAGCACAAAGTTACTAGCCATACTCCATGTGGACAGAATCTTAGTCCATGGAAGTTTACCTTCAGCAGCTAATTTTTGTCAGGTTGCCATGACAGTGTGTCAATTCACTCATTATATTCTTGGGCTGAGTGAGACACTGGGATTGAAGTATCTTTTTGAGAACATGACACAGGCCAAGGCTTGAACAAAATGCTTGATTAAGGATCTGTTTACTAGCTGATAGTCCAGTAATCAACAGTCAATAATTTATGTCTTTAATAAAGACATCTAGCTTTTGATTGTGCTCATCTCCATTGTTATTGTACATGTATGCACAGGTAGTGGGACTACCTCTGAACACAAAACTGGTACTTACTGATATTTGAATTCATTTGGACATAATTTAACTTGACTGAGTTTAGTTGTATCTATTAAACAGAGACACTATGAAGTTACATTCTGACTTGTTGGATGTGTTCTCAAGTACTTTCCAAATTGTACATGTATACAACATCTTTTTGTATGTCGCAGGTGAAACTTGTCAAATCTCTGATAAAAGGAGTTTTTGGAGCTCACCAGTGGCAAATAACCAAGGTACATGCTTGTTACATAAACTGTGATGATGTGCATGAAACAAATGATTTAAGCTTACTCTAATCAGTTCAAGCACTTCTAGAAAGCCTGTGCAGTACATTTAATAATCTGCAAATTATACAAGATAGTTTACAATACTTTGGTGATCATTTCTTTGAATTATTCATTATTTCTAAGACATTTTAGATGGTGTTGCTTCTCATGCAATGGTAGTCATTGGAAATTATTTATGGTTGTATGGTGGATTTTCATTGTCAAAAGGACCTCTGGATACACTAGCAAGGTATTTGCAACTGCAACATTTCACTTACATGTAACAAATAAAGAGCTTAAAGGGGCTAGGTCACACAATTTTAGGCAATTTCAGCACTGATCAAATGGTCATAGAATTAACTAAAATATCACAAAAACAGCTCAAAACTATAGAAGATCTCAAACAAAACACAGGAAAGCCAAGAAGGGACATGGATGGACAAAACTGGAGAGGATTAAAATGGTTGCATTTGGGTAAATTTGAAAAACATCAGCCCAACTTTTTTCAGATTTATATCAGTTTATATCAAAATGTCATTTACACAGTTGGAAATCATTCTCAGTTGTTATTTGGACGTGATTTTGCATTTGAAAGACTTTTGCTCTGCCAATTTGATGTTTAGAGCTCTTAAAAAAAATTAAACAAAATTACCTGAAATAGCAAGACCTAGCCCCTTTAACTAATGTACATTATTGTTTGGTGCTGACAGAATAGCCTTAATTTTAATAAGGATTTTTAAAATTTAGTGTTGTTCTTTTAGGTATGACATCAAAGAGAATATGTGGGAAGTTATTCAAGCCTCTAGTGAAAAACACCAAGGACCATCAGCAAGATATGGCCATTCGCTAGTGGCATATGATGTAAGAAGCAATGTTATGTTGCATACATCTTTATTTCTACCACGTGTAGTATATATTGTTCTTGTTGACTATCATAAGTGAACATTCTGCAGCCAAGGCAGTGTTGACTGCTTCCTTGAGGGGTGGCGAATGGTAAATGCGAGACTTTGCAAGACGACAATATTAGCGTTTTTCTTTGCGAGCCCGAGACATTTTGAATTCTTCAATTGCGAGACTGAGACTGAGAGGTTCTAAGATGTTGTGATGTCATTTAACTTTACAAAAAATAAACAAATCGATACTTATCGACTTTCTTAGCCTTGAACAAATTTGAGACTGCGAAACAGCTTTGTGAGAAAAATCAAGACTGCGAGACACACATAACCGCTAAAAAACGAGACTGCAAGACCCATGAAATTCGGCGAAAATTTTGCGAGACCATGGGTCTTTAAAGGACCATTTGCCACCCCTTCCTTGAGCTCTTGGTGAGTGTCAACGGGATGTGTCAGCTCAGCTGATAATGTTTTGTTAATGATGGCGAGGATATTCAATCAGTCTTTTTATGTAGTTACATGTTTATATATGAATTCATATAATGTTGTGGTGATCTTTAGCTATGCAATAATTACACGTAGATGTGTATTACTTTTTGTTTTCCTTTCATCACATTTATAATTTATAAATAAATGTGTAATTGTGTAATTGCATAAATTTATTAAACTACCATTATACATAGAGGGCAGGAAAGAGCCATGAGAAAGTGTGTAGGAATTCTGTTGTTAACTTGTAACAGTTCAAAATGTTTCTGGCAGTTAACTTTAACGTATACCATTTGTTTCAGAATTGTTTGATCCTTTTTGGAGGCACTTGCAAGAAAGGAGTTGTTTCCAATGAGACATGGACATTCAACATAACATTGAGACAGTGGACTCTTTTGAAAAATCCTGTTGACAAACCAGTGGGTGTCACAGGACACACGGCTACTGTTGTTGGAAATGACATGATTGTTTTATTTGGATATAGTCCTGATAGGGGAGTTACAAACTTAGTCCAGGTTTTTGGACTAGGTAAGTGCAATGTTCATGTACAAGGTGAATTACTGGTAGACAACTTTTCTTTTTTTAAACTAAGAGTGATCATTGAAAACGTTTCAAAAAACACATTAATGAATAACCCTACTTGAGCAGTTGAGGGTGAAATGCCAGCTTGGAGAGGTCATTGTCATGAGCCATTGCAATTTTTTCCTCATTGACGATGGAAAGCAACCTTATAGATTCTCAATGTACCATGCTGGTAGGACAGTTGTCAGATTACATCTTCCACTGCTTTTTGATTGGTTAAAATAATCAGAGCCTTGTCAGAGACTGGCATAATGAATAATGTTTCCCAAAATAATAAAACTTGCTGAGTCTACATGTAAGATTGCATTTCTTGAGTGTATACATATATATCTATCAGTACCTATTGTCTTTGGGTGGATAATGTTAATTAACATTATTGTTATCCTTTTTACAGAAGACAAGTTGTGGAGAACAGATGAGACTGCACCAAGTCACATAAAACCAATGTATGGACATAGCAGTGTGCTTCACCAAGATACAGGACGTATCTACATCCACGGTGGATACAGAATGCTCAACAGTACTTGCTTCAAAACATCTGATGAAACTTTTTATTATCAGAGAGACAGGAAAGACTGGTACCACAGCTCTCTGCATTCCAGTGGTGTTCCAAGGTATCTTCATTCCGCAGTTCTTGTTGGTGGCACAATGATTGTTTTAGGTGGCAGAGGAGACAGTGCTTTGGTACCAAGTCAGATGATGGTATTTGATATTGGTAAGTGTGTCACTGATTGCAACCTTGATAACTCTAGAATAGACCTTTTTCGACTGGGCGGTTTGTTGCCCCATTTCAGACCATGTGATGATTCTCTTGAGAATTCTTCCTTTCAAATTTTCAAATAGTCGTGTGCATGTGAATAAATAATTTTTAGATGGAAAAAGGAACAATTCTCAAGAGAATATCACATGGTCTGTAATGGAACAACAAACCGCCTGAGTGAAAAAGGTCTATTAGCGTATTCTATCTCTTACAGTAATGTACTATGTGGAAAGAAAGCCAGTGCTAATGTCAACCTTGTTGTCAGTGCCTGCAATGTTTCTCCCCCTTATAGAAGGCATTACTTACATTTAGAGCAGGTAGGAAGAAGAGAAACACTAGGAACAACATTGCCACTTTGCAAGGTAATAGTTTAAAAGTCCTCACTTATACTACTTGTAAATACCTGACCAGGCAAGGTTTTTATCTTTAGAGAGCAACAATTGGAAGATTCCAACTGATTCATTTGTACCAAAGACAGCATCACGTTATGGACACTCCGCTGTAGCTGTTGACAGGTAAAGCATGCCTGAAACATATTCATTGTGACGCTTTAAGATAAGTGAAACCTACTGTAACTGGCTATTTTAGAAAGTTCGTAAGATAAAAATGTAAATAGTAAAAATAATTTGTTCTTGCAGCATCATGCATGCCTTTGGTGGATTTCAAGGACAAATGCTTAAGACATTTCTTCAGTATACCCTTGGTAAGTCTATTTTGTTTGTTTCTGATGCAGTCAAACAGACATCCCTCATCGCCAGACACCTCTTGTAAGTGGATTTTCATTGTGGTCCCAGCCACAGACAAACACTAGACCTAACCTTCCACAGGCCCCTCTTGAGCAGATATGTTCCAGAGGTGTCCCTTTAAAGAATAAGAACATCCCCCAATTTAGTCTGCTGGGTGTGACATGACAAAGAGCTTGAGAAGAAAAAAGTCTGTGTAGCCTCTGGCATTGAGAAAGTGCATGACTTTTTGGGCCTCCTCACAGCATCAAGATTTAAACCAATCACCTCCAGCAGACATTGCATTGCTGTATGATCAGCTAAAAGACCAGTCAAGCCAGCGTACTGTACATCATTTTGGATTTTTTTTTCAGGAGACTGCCTGACACCAAGCTCCTCACTCAACTGCTTTAAGCCAGCCCCTACCCGAATTCCTCCTACAGCACCAAATGGTATGTATTTACAGTAACAGATGTATTTATTGTCATAGCCTTTAAGTCTTTAGTTTTGATTTTACAACAGTTATTACAGTAGACAATCTAAACCATTCAGAATGCAAGGCAAAATATGTTACTAGAGGCAACATGGAAGAAGTTTAGTCCAGTCCCTGAACTCTCCCCTCCCCACTCTTTGTAGGGGTTAAACCTCAGTGGGGGAGGGAGAGTCATGGATAACTTTCATGCACATGTTCAGAACATGGCTTTTTTTTCACCCAAAAACAGGTGGGGGAGGGGCGACACCAACTACATGGCAGAACTTTTTAAAGTGCATACAGGCACCTAGCAATAATTGGCTAATTTTAAGCCAGAATGTCATTACATCAGTATTAATTTGTTGTAATTCAATATGGTATGGTTCTTACTTACGTTTAGACATTTGCTCATCACACAACCCTAAAGTGGACCTTTGCCATCTACGACAGACCTGTAGAAATTGTTTAGATGCAGATGACAGTTGTGTTTGGTGTGAATCTCACAGCCAGTGTGTGTCAAAGGCCACTTTTGATGTCACTTTTCCATACCTTCAGTGTATGCAGCTGCTGGAACGTGGAACTGGAACATGTTCTGGTCAGTGGTCTTGCATCAAAGTTTTTAAGTACATGTATCTAGCAAGCATCTCTACTTTATTACTACATGTTGCGTAAGGGAGTGGCTGCATAAAGAATTTAAGGGGGCTGGAATTTTGTTGCGTTTACTGACAAATTTCAACTTGTATTGATAGAAGCAAAATCCAAATTGCCAAAAATGAAATTCACGCCTTGTTTCAGTGCAAACCCAATGAAAGAAAATACAGGTTGTTCAGTTTTGAGGTTGTGAGAAAAAATTGTTTTGCAAAGAGTATGAAGGCAAAACAGACAGACAGATGGATGGACGGACAGATGGACAGACAGGTGGAAACCCTACCTGGTCAAATTTGCTTTTGTTGCTCCCCAGTCTATATACCCAGTCTATATACATTCAGAGAGCTTGGAACAGAAGGTTTACCTAAGCAACAAACATGCACCCTGCATTCAAAACAAACTAATAACACAACTCCCTTAAATTTTTAGGTCTACATTGCTCAGAAATGAAGTCATGTCGGGACTGTCACATGCTTCCTGGGTGTGGCTGGTGTGATGACGGGTCTGGCACTGGCTTGGGAAAGTGCATGCAAGGTGGTAAAGATGGGCCATTCCTAGAGAGTGGGAATTCTATTGACAGCTGTTCAAAGCCAAACTGGAATTTCATAGGGTGTCCAGGTAATTATTTATTGACCATAGCCTCTCATTGGGAGGTGCAATGGCGTCATGTTTGGTGTGCTTAACTCCACATGGAGTGCTCCATATTCAGTCCCTGGCTGGGGACATTGTGTTGTGTTCGTAAGCAAGACACTTTACTCTTACGGTGTCTCTGTCCTCCTAGGTGTATAAATGAGTAACAGCGAATTTAATCCTGTGGGTAACCCTGCGATGAAGTAGCATCCCATCCAGGGGAGAGGGGGGTGTAGAAATTCTCCCAGTCACTTCATCCTACTGACACTGGAGATAAGCACCAGCCTGATGGGCCATATTTTGGCTTGTACGTAGACTTTACCTTTTACCTAGAGCCTGGCAGTCGCTTGCCCGCTTGAGGGCTACAAGAGGCACTTAGTCATTTGAATCGGAGGCTTCAGTAGTCATGCAGTAGGTTGCCTTTTTGTGACTTCATTTGTCATGCAATTACCAGCCATAGCAGTCACATAATTGTTTGTCTTGGAATTGACTGTAGTCACGCAGTGGTCATCCTTGAAGACTGAAGTGTGTATGTAGCAACACTTTTGCTTAATCCTGGTTTTTCAGCTTGCCAATGTAATGGACATAGTAGATGCACAGAGGAAAACAGATGTGGAGAATGCAAGGATAACACTGATGGTAAGAGTAGAATGGCTTTCACAGGAAGTCAACCTATGTACGTTGCAAGTTAGTAAAACGTTCTATTACTTACCGTGTTTATCTCTCCCCCGCCCCCCGCATCAAGATTATCTGCAAGCTAGTGGTCACTGATAACCCTTGGGCTAAGTTCACGCGATCACCCTGTAATTATCTTTATCAGGCTACATGTAGGTGATACTGAAAAAAAAAAAGCAAATCCTGCTGTTAGAAAATAAAGTTTTTGATTTATTTCATTAAACCCATCAACACTAGATGAGTGTGGGTGGTACCTGAAAGGTTGGTGGAGGCAGGTCCTACGAGCTGAGCATGCAGGGTAACTATGACGACCCAATGAGCGGCAACTACCAGGCACTGTCACACTGAAATACATCAGTGGAAATAAAATACTTACCCTATACTTACTTAGGGGAGGGGTGGGCTGGGAGCAAAGCCTTTGAAAGCAACGTGAAACGTTCGGCAACACGAGCGACATGGCAGGCCTGACCTCAACAGATGAGCTGTAAATTTAGGGGCCTCCCTGCAGAACCCCACAGACCGCCCCGCACTGATGAGGGTAACGGCAATTGTTTCGAGTTTGACATTTAGCCACATGATAAATTAGTACAATTTCCGTCAAGCCAAAAACGCAGTTATCACACGAAGCCAATCACATCACTGAAACACAAATAACGCAACGTGTAAAGAAAGAAACCTGCTTTACCTGCACAAAGCGCAGAAAAACGCGCGTAAGGGAAGTCATGGTTGCTCTGGGGTTTGCTCCTGATTAGCCACAGAAGGAGTCTGTTGAGTGCGATTGGTCAGAGTCCTTGTGAGGTCCATGTGTTCTAAAAGCAAATATAGGATTCCGAATGTTAAGTCATAATCAGCAGAAAGCAAAATTCGATGGAGAATGGGAAGTGTTTGTTGGCAAAGCGGCATTACATTTGTTTGCAACTCCCAGAACTACCTCTCAAACAGTAACTTCCTAATTGTGGTTTCAAAAATAGTCTAACAGTAAGTAACTATGTATTTTCGTGTCGTCACAGGAGACCATTGTGAACTTTGTGCTAAAGGATATTATGGAGACCCCAGAAATGGAGGCAGATGTGAAGGTTTGATAATAAACTTTTTTAACTTGTGGTAGAGTCGCTTAGTGCCTTGCTATGAGTGGTTTATCGGGGCTCAACCAGCGTGTCGTTTTTTTGGATGGTTTGGTGATAGGGGACTGTTGGGCATGTCTTCCTCTGCCAAGATGTTTTGTTAGGTCCGGCCAGTTTGCCTTATAGATGGAGCTACTTTCAAGCCACTGAAGTTCTCATACCGTAAATCCTCGAATTAGCGCCCCCTTTGAATAAGCGCCCCTCCTATCGGCCGAAATTGTAAATAAGCGCCCCCTCCCCTTCCCCCGATTTTGTGGACGAGTAATGAGACAACAAAGAATGTATAGTTTTCCTCATGTAGTATTAGATTTGTACATTGTTTCAGTTTGTGAACACGTTAAGTACTAACGGTGCCGCGATTTAAACTTTAGGATCAGCTTTTTATGTCAATAAACAGCAGATGATGTATTTAAAAAATGATCATGTCAGACCACGATTTGGGAAAAATTAAATAAGTGCCCCCCCCTCGAATAAGCGCCCCCCGTCTTCTCCTAAATTTGAAATATTCGAAGATTTACGGTAGTTATTTCTGTAAAACGCCTCCTTTGCAGCTGTTGTCTGGGTAGTCACTCTACGCCAAGAGGTGTTTGTGTGACGACTAAAATGACGGCTGCGAAGTGATGTATCAATCACGAAAGACCGTGTTTGACCACATTTCCAAACACCGAGGAGAGAATTGAAAATACTACGCGTAAAGGAGTGTTTCTGACGAACTTCAAGATGTTTGGAAATGTGTTCAAACACTGTCTTCAGTATTTAATATATCTTCTCATTCGAAACTTAACCAGGGAAGAAAACGCAGAAATGAAATTAAGTTCAGATATGAAAACACCGTCACGGTCATGATTTCCTTTGTTTGAGAAGGCGACATTATAATGACGATGACTTGTCAGTTTGTCGTTCATTTCAGCTTGCCAGTGCACTAGCCATGCTAAAGTCTGTGCTGCTGACACAGGCATTTGCCAGTGTCTTACCATGGGGGTCGTGGGTCGCAACTGTAGCAAGTAAGTTTCCGCAAAGATATACTGTGTATTCATTGATGTAAACTTATGGGCCGGCGAGTTGGAGCCTTCAATTGATTCTTCTAACTAGAATTTCTCTGTATCAGGGGTTGCTTAGCATTTAGCCTAAAAATCCAGAAACCTCGGTTGAGAGTCAATTGAAACAGTAATTTTCCTGGAAATCCGTTCGGAAATTGTAGACTACCTCCAGAGGTAGTCCTCTTTTCCTCTTCGGAACGGAACGGCAGAAATTTACACCCCATTTGCTAAATTTTCTTTTTTCCAGTCTTTCATCAGTCGAAAACAATAACTGGAAATCGAATCTCTAACGGTAAGCGCTATCTCGTTCGGTTGGTTTCCTGATTTTGAAAAAAACCCTTACCATTACCGAACGGTCATCCTAACAGGGTTAACTGACAAATGGTAAACACCCGGGATTACTATCCTTTCCAACTAGTTTCCTTGTTTACTCCACAGGTGTGACGATGACTACTCTGGTACTGCATCTAATGGCGGCTCTTGCTACTGTGAGTTAACAATGTTGTTGGCCTTTTTGTCTTCTAGTGTAGCTTTGGTTTTTCTGTCGGAAGTAATTCTATGTTTACCTTGGTTTTGATTGTTGAGCTCTTTAATAGACCATATTCGTATTCTCAGTTTTGGCCTGGAACTAGCTTGCAACTGAACCTAATGCGGGGTGCCTTTTCAAATACAATGACATTTATCTATTTTTAATTTCTCTCTTTATGGCCCGCATGAGACTCCATTGCAAGCTAGTTCCAGGCCATAACCGAGAATACGAACATGGTCTAGTTGTTGAAAAACTCGTGTTACGTTTCCTAGCCAATCATAACCAATGTGCGTGTTTCTTCGTCCAGTCAGAAGCAAAACCAAAGACAGTCACGACTTGCCTTGCGCGCGTTTTCTCGACGCGCTTGGCGCCGGCTGGATATTGTTGCTTCCAATCCTGATTGGTTAATTTTCTTATTTGCTTCCCTTGTGATTGGTCAGATGTAATAACCTTGAATTTGGTTTTTGACGGTCATAAGGAACCGTCATTCGGCAAAGAACCTAGCACACAAAAAAATATATTAACGAAAGGTTTTTATTTTTTCTCTAGATTTATTCCAGTCTTTTTTGGTAACAAAGGAATTCAACGTAACTGGATTCAAGAGTTTTAGTTTTCAGTATTTTCCCGAAATGGTTAGTTCCTGCATACCTTATTAAAATGATTCAGTTTATCGCCCTGGCGCTAATTTTCTTTTGGTAGCTCAAGGAAGGAAGCTTTCAAGGACGGAGCACTTTTTTCCAGACTACGTAATTCAGTCCATAGTCAGTCTATTCTGTGTCAGTGTCTAAAAATTAAATGTCAATTTCACAATAGGGACGCTGGATTTCATAAGGAAAACGACACTCACAAAAACTGCTTATTAGAAAACGTGCCCTTATTAAAAAGAGGGGGCTAAATCGAATTATTTCGGTTCTACTGTGCTTGTTTTTCCAAGTGTATGAACTTTTGTGTTAGCCCTTACGCTCGCGTCTCTAGTAAAAATCAAGCTTGAGACAGTTGAGTGTTCCTTTCTATTTATAGGAGAAACGCAGTGTTCAGATGGTTCTTCAATGGACTAAAGATAGCCTGGGATCCATCGCGTGGGTCAACGTATCTTCTTTCTATGGTAAGAAAATATAGCAAGACAAATGTAGGTTCTCAAGTATGAATAGAGCCCTTTGTTCTGCATTTAATGAGCTCCTCGTTTGTGGAAAATCCTTTTGAAAGTACTTTCAAACTAACCAGGGAAAACATGTTGTTGTTATTGTTTTTTCCCCAACCAATGAAAAACAAAAACTGGAACCAATCATGTCTTGGTACGCGCGTTTTCCCGCGCTTAGGAGCGGTGGCGTGGTGGCGTGTTTTTGGTTCATTGCTTTCAGTGCGTCTGTTAGTCTTTTGTGAGTTTGTTGTGAGTCTGTTGTGATTGGCCAGATTAGATTATTTTGTGTGTGGTGTTTCTGCTGTGTCCTGTCGAGTAGCCTGCTCTAAGCGTTCCGTTGGTTGTGAGCAGCGAGAAAAGCGTCGAGGAAAAAAAAGCAGGAGAGAGAAACAGGCTGGATGCGAGAATCGAGAGAACACCGCGCCGCACTTCTCCTCTGTGTTTTTTTTCTCGACTTTGCTGTGCAACCGAACGAGCAACTGAACGCACAGTCTTGGAACAGACTACCTGTCGGTTAATTGGTTGATTGTGGTGTCACAGCGGCGTGGGCGTGGAGGAACGATCGTTAAAAAATAGCTCTCTGCAAAGGTGAAATAGAGGCGTTTGGAGTAGCCAAGTTACTCTTGAATAGTTGGCCATTTTATCTTTAATCTCAAGATGGTTGTCTCTTAGAAGTGCAAGAGAGTGTTATATAAAATAAATGGAAATGTACATGTAGTCACACTGTCGTGTACCCAGGTTCTCTACCAGTCTCCCCACAGCTCAGTGCGTAGAGCATTTTAAGGAAGGTCATGGGTTCGACTCCCTTCGGGAAGTCAGATTTTTTTCTTTATCCCATTTTCGTAGCAACTGAACTTTTGTAATGCAGCTCTCGTGTTGCCTTGTTTTTCAGAAGAAACACCAGAAGAAGGAGAGGAACTAGTGGTCACCCGTGACGTGGTTCCATTCCAAACCGTGTTTCCTTTTCACGAGTACGAGTTCGATCACGAAGACCGCTTTGGTCTGCGAGTTTATGTCTATGACATTGATTCTGGTGGAAAGAACGCCATTCTCCAAGTAAGTGCAACTTCCAAATGAATGCTCAAAGCTTATTTCTTGTCACAGTATCGATACTTTGTCAAACAAAAACGTGACGAGAATAATCGTGGCATTTTTGCAACACATTTTCAGTCATGTAATGAATCTCTTAATCACCAAGCTTGCTCGGGACCGGATTGGGAGAATTTCGGCCCTCGG